TTTTTTACAAACACAACAGATGAAAAATGATACGTGAATCCAGGGGCGGAGACACAGTGTAAGTAGGGTGTTCCATGTCACACCCTTGGGTCGGGGCTAGAACATCAAAAAATAGGGGGTATTAGTTTATGCTATTGCTAGGATTTGAACATGAAACCCCCTTACTATTAGTTTTGACATCTTTCACTAAACCACAATTACTTATGTGATACACTAATACGTTTTATTGCATATATATAATTTAACGTTTAGAAATAATAAGTAAATTAAATTAAAAAGCCTCATAATTACATGATTATTCAAGCAGTAATCGAAACTTTAGCCCTAACAAGCAAGCTTCTCTCAGTCCCACCCTTGACCCTTCATCTTCCTTCTTTCCTCTTTCTCTTTGGCACCACTTATCCAAAATCCTGGCTACGCCACTGCGTGAATCAACTGGACCATTCCAGCTGGAGATGAATCATCTTTAGTTTGTATTTCTCTCTATATTTTTCTAACTAGTTAAAGAGCCACATTTCATGTTTTTCTTATCTGTCGTAGGATTATAACTTTTAGACAAAAACAAAATTTGTAATTGAAGGATTGCAACTTCGACGAGAATTATCCTAATTATCCGGTGCAATTATTGGCGTTCAATTGAATTCATCATTGCCCATGTCAGGAACGACTCATGCACGAAAAGTCTAGCTAGGAGCTCCATATTTTCTGCACATTCCGTCCATGGATCTCCTGTTTAAATGGAAAACTTTCTTTTGAACTTCTTTTTTCTCGGATAAAAAAAAGACAGATAGAGAAACAAAAGTGCCGACAGCTGTAAGGGTAGATGGCGTGTTTTTCTCTCAACCGTCAACGTTAATGTTAAGTTTTGGGTCGGCGTGTCTCCGTACCGATTTCCCGGCAGTAATTTGCAGCAATTTCGCTGGTAGGGACGCCGGCGGCTCCTCAAGACCAGTACAGTATTGCTGCTTTTCTTACCATGTCGACCGGTTCTAGATTGATTAGCAACTTAGAAGATTTGTCTCGAGTTATTAATAAAATTAAATTATCCTACCTACTACCTTTTCTTGATCATTACCTTTCAGATCTTTTATCCACTCATTAGTATCACAAGACACAAAAGTATCATGTCCACAAATATCCAATGTGAAAAGTGTCTATTAGTTCCGTAATATTTGTGACTGAACAAAATAGTTTAATAGCTGTTTAATTAGTCTGCAATTAATCTAGATCTCGATGTCGATCAATCAATGAGGGTCGAATCGAATTGGAAAATAGAAAAATTCATACACGAATTAAATCTTTTTTTTACCAATTTTGTGGAAAATATTAGATACGAATACGAGATAAAAACGCCAAAACATGTATCATTGTCATGTCGTCATAATTGAAGATTAGATTAGATACCCCAAGTAAGTCTAGCTAAGTTTGGTATGGTATTAGCTCTGAGTCTGACAGTCAATGTGGGCACATCCTGTATGTCCATACATGTGTAACATTTCCCCATTATTATAATAAATAACAATGCAGCTTGCATTAATATACAGACTATAGTGTTGTTCCAATCATCCTCTTCTCTTGGTTTCAAAAATAATAAAGAACAATCATTTTCTCTCATATGTAATAAATAAAATCAATAGGTACTAACGTAAGTACGTGAACACGAAATATTGGGCCATTAGTATTTCAATGTATTTGAAATAGCCTAGTGGGAAAACGGACACCGTTGTCATATTATTAAGAAACGAAAAAGTAACACTTTTATATATATAGTAGGTGGCTTCTTTGATAGATTCACTACTATACATTGCACTCAATAGTTTTAAGATATTAAATTTTAATTTTTAGTTGGTAGCATTCGTTTGATATGGTAATATAACATAGAATTACGTTAATCAATCTATTATGCTAACCTATATCTTCAATTTTGAGCACTAACCTAAACCCTTAAATTCCTAAACTATAGAAGGGTCGTTTGGATGGATGAATTATCATTGTGGTATTTGCAGAGTCAAATAACTCATTACTTGTTCATGTGATATGTCAGTGTTATTTCACTGGTAATTGGATTGAAGTATCTCATTTGGTAGGACCATGTAAATGTGGTATTTGGAAAAAAAACAAGGATTAAAATACAGCACCGGCGGTTTGACCTGAAAAACCTTCTACCGGAAGCAAAACCGGTAGGCGGTATTTAGCGGTATAATACGGTTGAACCATGGCTAAACCACGATTATAGCATAAAATACCCTACCGCTGATTTTTCCTGTACGACCTCCGGTACAGTATTTCAATCCTTGGAAAAAACAGAGTGGTAAAATGAGTTATGTCGAAATAACACGGGGTTAGAAGTTATTCCAAATAACCCATTTCACTAAAATGCTGCCAAACGAGTTATTCGTGTCCAAATAACTCATTGTGAGTTATTTGAACTCAAATACTTCATCCAAAGTTCCAAACGACCTCAAAACTTTCAAATCAAGGTAATTTTGAATGACTTTTGTGCATATTCATATATTTTCTTGTCCATCATATTACAAGTGATGATTGACATCAATTTGGCATATCGGAAATTGGACTCAAACAGTAGGTGGCTTTCGCAATACAAAATGGTTAAGCCAGTTTTATTAGAAAACATTTGTTTGACCGGCTTTTAGAAGTGCTTTTATGTTTCAAAAAATGAAATATGGCCAAACACCTCTAAAAGTTTGGCTTTTGAAAAGTTAAAAAGTGTTTTTGTATAACATAAAAGCAGGAGCTCCGATTTGGAGCTTATGTGGTAAAATTGTTTTGAAAATACAAGATTATCCCTAACATATTTTCACTTTATTTTGGAAAATATAATTTTATTTCATATATATCATTTTAAAAATATAAAATAAAATATAAAACAATATTATTCAATATAAAATAGATCTAACAAGATCTATTTTGACTAATGTTTTTTATTTTTATTTTTATTTTATATTGGAAATCCTTTTTGGTAATTTTACATGAACTTTTATATTAAAAAATACTTCTAATAGTTTTCCAGGCAAACAGTCAAGTGCTTTTTTCAAAAGTACTTTTCTAAAAACTCAAACCAAAAACATCTTCTGCAAAAGCTACAGAGGGGCCAAACTATCCCAAAATACTCTACCACTAATATTTCTGGTAGGTATGGTTACGTACACATTGGTTTAAACCTCCTGCTCCAATCACTCTCCTACTGGTTTGCAAGGTAGTGTTGTAAAATCGTAACGGTTGTTTGATCGAGAAAATCTCTTATTGGAGGCTATATTAATAGGCAGTTTTTAATGGTATAAAATTATTGATTGAAAATTAAATTATGATTTCAAAATAAAATATTTTATCCCTGACTTTTTCGGTATAATTTCTGGTAGAGTTTTACAATGTTACTATCTCGATATACACTAGTCTAATAATAATGGACACAATTAAAGACGATTGGACAATGGTAGGTGCTTCCAAATGTAAGAAGAAAATAATAAAGGCTCCTTCCAAGTAGTCTCAAATAGCCGCCTGCATGCATGGTCCCAACTAAATAGCCCCAAAAGCAAAGATAGAGCTGCCGAAAATCCATTATGGAAAAAAAATGCTTGGATACATATCCCATTTTATGAAGAGTAATATTAATTTTAAATCAGGGAAATGACTTTTTCTTGTTTGAATTATTTGCTCATAGTTGGTGCTAAATTCCAAATTTCCAACTCTGTATACCTTTACTTTACCTCCCTTTCTCAGCTAGCAGCCTCTATCCTCCCCCCAAATTTCCACGTTACACATTATGTAATAAATATGTATAATATAAACATTATCATCCCTAGTGAAGAGGAAGCAAAAATTTTAATAGAAAGCTCACAATGTGCCAAACTTCAGTGTTACACAAAAAATTATTCATTTTTTTTATTATAACAATCTTCGTTAAAATTATTCAGTTTTAAACTCAACTATCACACCGAGATGAATAGTAAGAAAAATGGCGATATCAAAGACAAACACAGATCACACAATAATGTTTAATGTGGAGTCTAGTCTCTATAGAATTTCTGTTTGGTATAAAATGTATACTACCAAAAAACACAATAAATTTTTCCCAAAAGAAAATATAGTAAATTGATGTAGGGTACATTTCAGATCTTGACTTTGAAGGCATAGGATGCAGCAGACTGTATGATTTCATTTGAACTTCAAAAGTTTATTATTTATTTAACTTATCAAATTTGAGGTGTCTAATTGAAACTAAGCTTATACAATTACAGTAATTAATCAATGGCAAACTACCCTTATGGTAATTAACTCTTGTTTATCTATATAAAGGGAGCAAAGAAGCCACTCTAGAAAGCCATCCATATCCAAACAAACAAACGTCCCAAAAATGGCTTCTCTCATTGCCACTCTTGTAGTGGCAATATTTTCCTTCAGCTTCTTTCCCTTGGAGATCACAGCTAACTACCGTCACTCCTCTCCACCACCACCACCCAAGAAATACCCTCCGCCGCCCTCTCCTTACTTCCACCACAAGTCCCCGCCGCCGCCGCCGGTGCACTACCCACCGCCGCCCCATACTCCGTACAAATACAAGTCCCCACCACCACCTCCTCCGCCTCTCCACAAGTCTCCACCGCCACCACCGCCCCACAAGAAGCCTTACAAATACAAGTCCCCGCCACCTCCACCGCCGGTTTACAAGTCCCCACCGCCGCCGGTTTACAAGTCTCCTCCACCACCACCCCACAAGAAGCCTTACAAATACAAGTCCCCGCCACCTCCACCACCGGTTTACAAGTCCCCACCACCGCCGCCGCCGGTTTACAAGTCTCCTCCACCACCACCCCACAAGAAGCCTTACAAATACAAGTCCCCGCCACCTCCACCACCGGTTTACAAGTCCCCACCACCGCCGCCGCCGGTTTACAAGTCTCCTCCACCACCACCCCATAAGCCATACAAGTACAAGTCACCACCGCCACCACCCGTCCACAAGTCGCCACCACAACCGCCTCATAAGCCATACAAGTACAAGTCGCCACCTCCACCACCCGTCCACAAGTCGCCGCCACTACCTCCACCGGTTTACAAGTCACCACCACCGCCGCCCCATAAGCCATACAAGTACAAGTCACCACCGCCACCTGTCTACAAGTCGCCGCCGCCGCCACCACCCCACAAGCCTTACAAGTACAAGTCCCCACCTCCACCACCAGTTTACAAGTCTCCACCACCGCCACCGCCGGTTTACAAGTCTCCACCACCGCCGCCGCCCCATAAGCCTTACAAGTACAAGTCGCCGCCTCCACCAGTCTACAAGTCTCCACCACCGCCGCACCATAAGCCATACAAGTACAAATCTCCACCACCACCACCTGTTTACAAGTCTCCTCCACCACCGCCACCGGTGTACAAGTCTCCACCACCGCCGCCGCCTAAGAAGCCATACAAGTACAAATCACCGCCGCCGCCGCCTGTGCACAAGCCATCACCTCCTCATCATTACATCTATGCCTCGCCGCCTCCCCCGCCGTACCACGTCTAGATTATCACAACAACGTACTGTCTCTCTTATAGCTCCAAGGTAGTAGTAGTAGTAGTAATAACAACGTAATTTTACATGCACGGTCAAGTTCAATAGCAGAATTATAATATCATTATCACATAAATGATTCAACGGTAATGATTTATGGGTAGTTAATAATCTTAGTATATGTCTCTGTTTGCAGGGAAGAAAGCGAGTTTCCGCGTTACGAGAGTATCATCATTATAGGACGTGTGACGTGTCGATCTTTTTCAGCAGAGGAATTAAATAAAAAAAGAGAGAGGACAGCGGGGGGAACGACAAATTAGAAGACAGGGACTAGTTTGTTTCGACATTATTGTCAATATATCTTATATTATATTATTATATATGCTTGTGCTAGCTTAGTAAAAAAAAACCCCACGTTGTTGTTGCCTTGTTGGTAGCCTTAACGTGCATGGTGGCAGTGCTTTAAGTTTCAGGTTCAGGGGGTCAGAGGGGAAAAGAATATTCTTGCATGTTGTGCTTTGATATTACTCTTTCCCAAATTATCGTCACTCAACCGTTTGCAATGTCGATTATGTGAGGAAATAAATTAAGGTTTGGTTATCTATTAAGAGTTCTGCATGGAGTTGGCAAAAGTAACTTCGGAAGTTTATTCATTTTACGTCATGCAGTACAAAGCAGTACTGCTACAACCTCTCGCCATAAATACTTATCTTTCTTGAAAGTTAATTATGTGGACTATCCATTCATATTTATCTCGTTGATTCGAGTTCTTCTATCGAGAACGTTAAGAAGGCATCTTTTATGTCTGTAATATAATCATTTGAATAGAAACTGACTCATGACTGACTTTAAACATTTTATGAAGCTATATGTGTACACAAATCAACAGGCTGGTCAGTGTTGTCTGTAAGAATAGTATAATAATATCCATAATTAATCTTCTCTCGACAACAAATGGTTTTGTGTTGAAATTGTCAAGACCACCAACATTAAATGTTGATTTAATAATGAGATGATAGTGGACCTGGCCTGTGCAACTTTCAACGATTAGTTACCATTCTCCAAGAACTCAAATTGTTATATAGGAAGAAGACTAAGAGAAAAATCTTTTAGAATTCCCTCCTACTTTGAAATTTCAAATTTAAGAACCAATTAATAACAAACATGTTACCCAGAGATTAAGTATATTATTGAAGAGTATCGACTGCATTATCTGCCTCGAATCACCTCATGACTCTATCATGAAGCCGATAATCACGATACTCAAAGTTTAGCTCAAGCCAGTCATGGCTGGCTACTTAATTGGTCATAAAGAATAACAAGCAGCAACTACCCATATACCCTTAATCTCGTAGCTCATACCAAAAACCTTTATATGAGGTCACTCTATATACGAATTTTTCCCCAAAACACAAGCCTTACTAAAAGAATTACCAAAATACAACACTTACACTAAAAAATTTGCTACACAAACAAGTTTGATACCGTTCGTTGTTGTGTCCAACAATCTATGTACCGGTTTGCTGGAGACCGGCGAGCCCAAACTCGCGGTCAACTAAAACGAATCGACTTCAAACTAACATGGATTGCAATAAACAAGAGTGATCCACCCAAATTGCTGATGAAACCGGTGATCTTTCCCAAAAGAAACGCGATATATGAAGAAAAAACTCTATATATATTGGAAATGCTGAATATTGAATATCAGAAGATGAGTGACGAGAAATCTTTCCACCATTCTTTTTTCTCCTTTTTTAGTACTGAGTGCTAACCAATTTACGTCTTGTCATGATAACAGCTCAGTCTGGTAATGGTATACTTTAGCAATAGCATTCTTCGAACAGGGTTACATCTTTTGAAAATGGACGAGATCATTCCAATAATTGTACATGTTCATATTGCTTTTTGTTACAAGGAGGAAGTTGTTACACTAATCTCCACCAACTCTAGATATAAAGTTGGGCCCTCTTCTTCATCACCAGCAGATTTCCAGAAAAGTCATCAAAAGATGAATGGAGAAAACCCTAGAAATTATCGTCAAAACCACCAACTCATCATTAAAGATATGACCACGTATTACGTAACATATGAATCTATTTAGATTTGCATGGTCGCATAATCATTTTAGAAAATAGGGTTTGAAGTAGTAACTCCATGGACCGATTTGTCCGTGGAAATTCAACTGATTTCGACAGGCATGATAACATGCGTTGATTATATTTATGTGGTTATTTGTAATATGAATATTATCTTTTGTGAATGTTGGTCTTTTATAAACTCGTATCTGTCACGAAGTAGTATGTATTTTTACGGATTATATTGTACAACAAAAATTCGAAATTCCTTTCATCGTTGATAATATGAACGGTTGGTATGCTAATTCACTAGCTCATATATTACTTCTTCCGATATTATTTTTGAATCTCGTTTGATGAAAAGTATATGATTTAAGAAATCCTATCATACTAACTGGTCCGACCACAAATACTAAATTTTAAATGGTAGGCGATTTTAGCAATACAAAAAGGTTGAACCACAATTTAATTATAGTTTGGTACAAAATAACTATGATTTAACTTTTGATACGATTTCACAAACAAATAGATAGAATTTAGGCTGCTTTTTTATCGCACCAAAAGCAAACCAGCCAAAAACATCCCAAAACCAAAAGATGGCAACATATGAATCAATGTGCTGGTTTTGGAATTTGATGGAGGAAAATTGAAACTGAAAGAGCTTCTGGAGGGACAGAGGAAACTTTACCTTGTCAAAAGGGTGTCTCTGCGCAGCCCGGCCCACATACCTATCTAATCTTTCTTTTCTTAGGCAGATAAATGAGGCCCACATCTATCTACTACATTTATATGTAATCTCTTATTACTAGGTCAATTAGTCAAGCTAGCATAGCCGTCTTTCGTTCGGCTACAATTCGAGTTATTTGGATCGATTAGTTTTCTATATGATATTAGAGTCTCATGTGATTGAAAAATCTTATGTTCGGATCACGAAGACCGTCATTTGTTAAGCACATCGTATTCAGATCTTTGCACAATTCAAACTCATATGAGTTGGTTTTCGTTTGAGTGAGTGGGTGTAATAGTGTGTGGTATAAGATCAATTATTGAACATCTCCTAACAATTCGAGTTATTGAGATCAGTTGGTTGATGATATAGTATCAGATGTTGTTTGTCCTAGAGGTCGGGAGTTCAAGTTAGTCATCACGACCACCAATATTAACTGTTCTCTATATGATGGACATGTATAAACTTCAAGACAATGAGTTCATTTTTAATTTTAATGATATAATTAAAATATATAAATTAAAATTATCTAAGAACTCGAAATATATAGACCAGTTGATTTATGATAGAATTATTACGATATTAATAACTAACTTTGACCCGTTGGCAGTGTAGGAAAACAGTGGTCATATTCATTAACAATTTCAACTGATAACTTTCAAAATCTTTTATATTTTTCAATTATTAACTTACCAGTCAAACAGATGATAAATCACAACGTGGACTGGTAGCTGCCGACACTTGAACAGTGGCATGCTTGATTTTTTCCTTCGTAATTATACGCTTTGAATTCTTACTTTTCATTGAATTTCACTAACATACTTGTGTGTTGTGTCTAATTTTTCTTCCTATAAGAAATTTCATTCATGAGGTAAATAAAAAAATGAAATATGAATAAATACCACCATAGCACGTGTCAACTACCACTTGTATATATACCACGTAGGAAAATCGAACAACCAGAGTCAAAATAACGATCTACATACATTTCTTATGTAGGTAAATTACATATCACATGTTTAAATATTATACGTTTTCATCAAGTTAATCAGAATTCCAAGAAGAAGAACATTGGTTAATAAACCTCTTGTTTCAAATTGACAACTAATTCTTCACAGTAAGTTGAATACGAGATGTACGTAGACAATCAATTCCAATCTCGTATAACGCCAACCCAAAATTTAGAAATTGAAGATCAAATTAGAGTTAGAATATAATTATGGTATTAGAAATGGAATAAGAAGAAGGAAAAAAACATTAGTTTGGTTGAATTCCTCTTCGACTATTTCTAAATGCAAACCAGACTTCTGCATTTGGTCATAACATAAAAACAAATTTTTTTTTTCTGAAGACCATAGAATTACAGTTTTTTTAGGAACCTTAGTGTTACAATTTTTTTTTTTTTTTTACAATTACATTGATGAATAAATATTTATTATCTTCGATATGCCAAAAACTGAGACACGTGCATGTATTTTGTATATGATGATATATCAGTCGATCTGACTGACTGACTGAATGAATGATTGATTGAAGCATTGGACGTGGAAAACTGGGTATGGGAGTGTGGGTAAGTAGAATAGCTAGACACGTGTCAGAAGCTGAAGCGTACAATAGTCCCTTTAATTTAATTTTTGGACTTGAAATTTTTCTTACATGTGCCCCACTGTTTTTGTCATTATTATTATTATTTAGCTAATTGTCCTCTCTAGAGTCCTTAGGCCGATTGGGGCAGAAACCTAAGGGCGGTTTGAAATTGTTTCTCGGGAGAATAGGACAATTCCATTTGTTAGAAAATTGCAATTCCTTCCACGGAATGAATATAACTCCATTTGTAGCCAAGTTCATTTGACACTTTCACCTATTGGACACTGATGTCTCCTTCTGTTTGACTGGGTATGGGGCGGGTATGGGTAAAACCCGCGAAGAATCTGATGGGTATGGGGCGGGTTTGGTTTTAGGTGCCCCGCCCCATACTCATACTCATACCCAACCCGTCAAACTTATTTGTTATATGCTAAAACTACAAGTACCTGTTTGTAAATTGTTAATGACATGAAGGGTAAATAAAATAAATATAGATGGCTAAAAGATAATTTGACTTATCAAAACCCTAAATGAAACATCAGCCCATCTCAAATTCTCCATTCTAATTTTCTCACACAGTCGCCGCAGACGCTCAATCTCCCAATTCCCAAACTCCCTGCTGCTGCTCGTCGTCCGTCGACTCCCGCAGCCGGCCAGCCGGCCCACATTCGATTCCTCCAACAACCTCCGCCGCCGATTCTGAATCGGGACTCCGGCGAAGTTGTCGTCGTCGGTGGCGGAAAAGATCGCAAGGCTCGTCGTCCGTCGACTCCCGCAGCCGGCCAGCCGTCCCACATTCGATTGAGCTTCATCAGTCCTCGTTTCTTGGGATTCTGTTCAGTGATTGATTTAATCTCCTATTTTCTACTTATGATAATTGGTGATTTGAGAATCAATTCGGCTACTGAGTTGCTTAGCTGACTTTCATGGTTCGTTTGTGTAGCATAATGGATTATTAGAATCGCCTGGAATTGAAAACTGGAGAGGTATAACAGTGTTGACATTATGTTGAAATGTTCGATCATTTTGTTGATTACTTGATGTGCTCTTTTTTGGGTTATTTATCAGTTTAGCTTGATGGGTACCTTGTTGATTTCATAATTTATTTGGTTGTTTTAGTGTTATAATTGAAGAATGCATGTTGTTTATTAGGTGTAGAAGTAATGCATACATGGGGATGGGTATTACCCATGGGTACCCGAAACACGCGGGTATGGGGATGGGTATACAAATCCTCCACCCGCATGGGTATGGGGCGGGGATGGGTATGGGTATATGGAAATGGGGATGGGGATGGTTTAGGCAAACCCGCCCCAAACCCGCCCCATTGTCATCCCTAAGTATAAGTCGTCTCTCAACCTCCAATTCGTCAAATTAAGAATTACCAATGACGAGAATTTGAGATTTCACCTCTCCTTCATTCTCATTATGCATATCGTAGTTCTAGTCAAAACTCAAGACTCTTTGCCCTATAGTTTGCTTAGTCTCTTTGCCCTAAATTAAACTATTAAATCTAATTTAAATATTGGGATTGATATGGCCAAAATCCATATCCCGGCCTGCAGTTGAGGAAGCCAGAGAGAGGGAGGGAGTACCAAATGATCGAACTTGGGACCAAACCCCAATTTTAGACAAGTAGCATAACCAACGATACCATCGATCATCCGATGGCCAATCTTAGTTACATAACCCCTAGGCCCAACGACTTTTAATTACCCATATTGACGTAAATGGCCCGGCCCAAAACGCACGAAATGCAGAGCCAAATGTACCACATCGACAACAAGAAGCAAGAAGGAAATATTTATAACTGCACAGTACACCATATGCTGCCACGACCTTACTTGAACAGGATCTGTTCTATAGGCTCGTACCTCTGTGTCCTTTAGCACTAAGGAGACAGGATCCCAAGTCTGGTGGATGAATTGTGACCACATGATCAGAGCGTGATTAACGGTTACGATGGTCTTGTTGACTATTTGATCTGTAGATGATCGTTCTCAGCCATTCCGATGGTTTGGGATGGTCATGTGGTTATCTGACAAACTTAAACATTTTTTTTTCCCGGTAATTTTAAACATTTTTTTTCTATTTACATTTTTTTTTTTCCTATTTACCGATAACATGTTTGGTTTGTCACACATTTGAATTGGATGTTTTCTTCAATGGATAATAAATTGGATGTTTGCGACTTGCGACATAAATTGTTACTATTTCCGTTGACGGTAAATGTAGTGACGCGGTGCAAAATGTGACGATGGTTCCATTGAGCCAATCATCTCAGACATCCAATAGCCATCTTAAAACAAATCTACAGAACTTCACAAATCACAACAGACATCTAAAACAAAGAACCAATCATCTCAAACAGGTATCCAGTAGCCATCCTAACAGTTCAATCATCATCATTCTTAGACCGAACCAAACAAATCTTAACCTCAACAACAACAAAATTTCTCTCTACAGTTTTGGAGATCGGAACTTCTACAACGGGCGAGAGCCTATACAGTTCAGCATTCGCGTTAAGCAACAACATACTAGAAAAGCACTAGACCTTGGTAGATAAGCATCATCTATAGTAACGGTTACATCCGCAGTGTGCACCATCCTCGAAACATTTACAGCTCTAGCATTAGAAAGTTGAACTGTGACGACGTGCCGGAATTAACATCGTAGTAGTAGTAGTCTCTCTCTCCTCAACTATCCTTCAGTGCCGTGGTATTTTTAACTGTCAGTTTGTATACAACCATTTACTCCACAAAACTGCTTCTCAAAGTAACTGCATGCGGAGAGACATGCGTTCAGTAAATCACTTACCACCAATGCAAGGCAAGGCAAAGCAAAGCAAACTCACTCATTTTGTGATGATTGAAGCTGTACATTTACGTTTATTTAGCCGAAATGGTCAAGGAAATTTGTACCTGGATTTCTTGGACAAGTTTTTCCAGTTCAATAGTTATCTCAGAGAAGGATGGCCGCTTGTCCGGATCTTTCTCCCAACACCTCTGCATTATGTCTAACAGCTTCGGATGGATATTCTGTGGAAGCTCTGGACGCAGCCCCTGAAACCAAAGGCAAACACACGAAAGAATCGCTGGTTGCTCTTTTCAGAAACTTTTTCTTACCCATGAACATCACTGCAAGCATGTACAACTGGTGAAATTTTGAACTTAAAATCTACTCCACTATACTCTATTAAGATCCAAATACTCTTGAAATGTCGAGGGAAAATAGCAAAGGAAGAACGAAGTAGAGAAATAGGATACAGAAGGGAAACGGCAAAGTTCACCTGTCTAACTCCCAGGGCAGCTTGCAGGGGTGTCATGGACTCGTAAGGTACCTGTTGTTCACAGTTACACAACATGAAGATATAATCTTGAAACTGTAAGCAACAAGAAAACAAACCAACAGTTGAGTGCATGCAAAATTGCGAACCTTAGCAGTCACCAGCTCCCACAGCACAATAGCAAAACTGAAGACATCGGCTTTCTGATCGTATGGTTGGTGGTTTATAACCTGACACAATGGAATTGATACAGCATCACTTGATGGACAGGCAAAGTAAAGTGACGTTCTGATGTATACACAGAATAAGGTCCTCCATGTGATATCCATAATCGGATAACCCAACAAAAGGAGTTGAGAGGATACTTATGTCCAGTATTTCAGATGACCAAGAGGGCAAAGTTTCTAAACCTCGGGGGCCATCCATCTGTATGTACCAGTCTCCGCTGTCATTACTCCCCCTTGATTCTGGAAACGGGCAACCCCGAAATCTGCCACCTTAACAACCTTGAGAACAAAAATGATAACGATTCAATTTACCTCAGGATCTGGAACCACTATCACTATCTCCAACTTGCCAATAAACACATTAATGCAACAAGCACAACCAAGGCACAAAAATTTCCCAAATTCCATTAATTTGAAATGTTACAGTAAAACCAAGCAGTAAATAATGATAAAGGAAAAAGAGAAAACAAGCAAGCAAGCAGGGGTAAAGAAGCAAAACAGTTTCAGTCAGATATCTAGTTACATACTAACTAATTCAGGACAAACGCAGCCTACAATAAATGGGTATAGAATTATCACTCATGTGTCATCCGAAATTCATGGCAGAATTCCCAAATTGCATATTGCCTATTGCAGCATGGTTGGTTTATGGTGGCAGTGTCTTTTATGAACTAAGAATCCTGTATAAGTGTAGGGTGATTTCAGGTTCAAGTATCAGTATGATGGGCAAGCAACGCTTCAACCTCAAATAACAAATTAGCATCACGGATCTTACATTATCTGTGTCCATCAACAAATTAGCCGTCTTCAAGTCCCTGTGAATTATGTTGTTTTGATGCAAATATTCCATGCCTTTGCTAACATCTATTGCAAACTTGAGCAGTTGAGGAAGCTTCAATGTCTTGTGGTTCTCGTGCAAGTAATCATACAAACTTCCTCCAGGCATGTACTCTTTGGGCAGTAGAGAAACAAACTATCAGTTCAAGTCACAAAACTACAGCATAGAATGGACGACCATACATCATAAACAAAATTGTTTGGCGGCAACGACCAAATTCAAAAATTAAAGCAGAAAATCATTAAGCATCAACTAACAAACAGAAAGAATAATAAGGTAACCTTTTGCACAATATCAGAAGAAGAAAAAAGATGGAAAATGGTTATAAGGTACCTTTTCCTGACTATATTGCAAGGGTAAGGGATACAGCATAGGGAAGCATAAATCACAAGAGGGGAAAATCACAATGTCAGGAGTTATTACCTGTTACAATGCATAAGTGCGGGGATCTGGTAGATGCACCAACAAAACGAACAACATTTATATGTTGGACCTCCCTAAAATCAACAGATAGCACAGAGCATCATCAAGGAGAAAGGACATTGTACAGGAAAGCAAACACTTGAAATGATTAAACATATTTTTTGACTTAAGCAACCTCCTTGGCTATGGCAGAGCCCTAAATCACAAATTATACCTCAGAATTGACACTTCTTGAGAGAATTCTTCTTCTTGTGAAGCACTTAAATGCTCAGCTCTTAGAATCTTGATAGCAACATCTTGACCAATGTAGACTCCGCGAAACCTACAGATGGATGAAAATGATGAGAAAGTGTCAGAGACAGTGATTAGCCAGAACGATACAGGTACAACCATTGAAAATAAGAACTCACAAATCCCCACAAGACCCAGAAGCAATTCTTTCTCCTATCTTCAGCAATCTTCTATCTATTTCCCAATCTCCATATTTTGCATCATTCGATAATTCTTTGCCTATAACCGAGCGACCATGCGAAGAACCGGACCACGAACCCTGCATGGACAGGTTTTTTAGCTGCGGATGTTAGCCCCGTGACCGTGAGCAAGGGAGACAGGGTTACACAATGTCAACCCCTAAGCCACATAAAAAATCGGGTAAGTCAAGATTGTAAAGCATCCCTAATAAACATGGTGAAGCAAGTTATATACAACAATATGGTAGTTGATGACTACATACAGTTCATTGACAACGGACATTGACAGAACTCTACAATCAAACCCGGTCAAGACTCAAGATGGTACAATTCTCAGTTCGATAAAGAATAATTTCAACTTATTTCACCAACTACAGACAGTAAAGATCCATGAGGAACATTTAGCATTACAATTCAAAAAGGACAAATGAGAAACTCTTCGTAGCTAATAGTTAAGGCTTCAATAAAGCAAACATAACTCCCTCATCGCCATATACACACTACCACAGCAGAACTATCCAAAAATAAAATAACAGCTGAAGACTACGAAACATAAATGCAAAAGAAATGTGTACAGACAAAAGGAAGAAAGGAAACACACCAAATGAGAGAGAGAGTTTACCTCACTTCTAGCAATTGCTTTTCCCAATGCCTTAGTCAAACTATCTGTATCCTGGCCACAACATTGCAAAATCAACAACATTTGGACTCAGCAGAGATCCCTGTCATAGAGATTTAATCACAATGTCCCTCAAAAATAGACCATTGGCCAGATTTAACGACGAAGGAAACAGAAGCATGAAAGTTGACTTCATTTTCAGTTTACATGATGCTAAGCTAAAAAAAACAGCCATTGATTCTTAGACAAAGAATAACTAATTCTTCACATAGAAACTTTTGAAGGAGACTACAAAGAATTTTATGATAAACTCCTCCATCTTTCCTCAACCTCCTTCACGCGTCAAAGAATAACCATATAATCTATATCCACAATGAAGTGACAGGTACCTCAACTGGCCATCCATCTACCACAAATACATCCAAAGAGTAGCCATCAATTGTCGAGAAAACATGTGCCTCACGGATGTTCAGTCCTATATCAGAAAGCAGTGCTGAGAGCTAAAACAAAACAAAACAAAACAAGATCTCATCAAAATGAATTCCATAACCCAGACTCAACGTTTCCTATAATTCACCAAGAGTATCCATATGTACAGTAGGCACATAATGAAAACAAAGGATCAGAGGCCACGAATCTCAAACTTTTCCCAACACATGAAACCCCTGATTTATATATTCTTCTTCAAATTAGATTTTTTATTTTCAACAACACTCCAACTTTTACACCAAGCTACTTTTGAATAAAAGCTTTAAGGTAGAAAAAGCTAGGCCTATCAGGTTTCCTAATATGCCAAATAATGTGCACGTAGCACTGGAGCCAATAGCTATTACTTTATCTGTTCATAAAAACAAATAAGGAAGAATTAGGGTAGCAGAGTTTTAAAAAGCTTCTATTTTCCATTGCCATTTCTCCTACTATAGATTAAGTCTAGCAAAAAGTACCAGTACCACAATCTAGTCACAGAGAGTGCCAGACTGATTCTTCATACGTACCTGACTAAGTAGCTTCGGCTTATCGATTGTAGAAAAAATTACTTCATGTACTGGAGCCTGTTCTAATTCTTGCCTGCACTTGAGAACCAGGAACTTTGACCAAATATATAGTAATTGAATAAAACCTATCTTGAATCGAACTTTGCCTTCCTACTTTCCCAACCTTAAGAGAGTAAACATAAAAGAAGGGGCTGCTAAGCAAGCAATTCTTATTCTCCTGTTTCAACCATACATTCTGGTTAATACTACCTGAATTTTAAAGCAGCTTAACATTTCATCCAGGACGGGAAATGTTAACAGTTCCAAAGCATTTTACATGAAAGACTCAATTAAATTGTCGTGCTGATTTACAGGAGAATCACAAAATAGTTACAAACTCAGCATTTAAATAATTTAAACAAAAACAATATGATGATGTAAGTACCTTCTTGATAGGTTATCCGACTGATACCTATCCTCCATGTCCTTGGAAGTTTTCTCCAAATTCAGATCCCCGAGCTTAGAGCATGGTTCAAAATCAACTCCGTCCCTGACTCTAATGAGGTTGATCACATAAATAATGAATAAAAAGACAATGCATTCAAAAATTCAAAATCTGTAGAAAACCATACACCTAAGAATAGAAAGATACCTCTTGTGCGATGGAGCGCCTTCTTCACTTGTTGCTAGTCTTGAAGTAGTCAGTGGGCCTGAATAATGTTCCTCATCATTACCATTTGCATGTGTACCATGGTTCTATGGAACAATCCAAAGGGGAAAATATTAGCATGGACCAGATAACACAGCTAAATAATCTCTCAAAGATGCACCTCTTTCCCAGCTTCAAAGACATTATGCAACAAAAATCTATACCTTCTTGGAGCTGTTGATTCAACTAACATATATAGAAACCTCTCCTTTTATATACATGGTATTGACAGTTGATGGTCAGCTGAATAAGATTACCATCTTAAACCCGTCAGCTAACATATGTATAACCTCAGAATGGCATAGACCACACTATCTATCATTAGGGGGGCGGAAGTACTAGCTTGAATACTCATGTCACTGCATGCCTCTGTTCCGCTACCTAAACTCTAAGTCAAGTACTAAACTCTAATGCAATGCTTCACGAATGGTCGTTTCACCACACGTGGCTTGTCACAAAGTGATTTGTTCTTCATTAAAAAGGAGGTTTGCGTAGCCATACCAGTTTTAAATGGATGGCCACCATAAGAAATCAGAAGGTAATACCTCCATGAAACGGACATGGTAAACAGGACGCTCCTCCGGATCCTTGGCCTTTTCTAGAAGTGTTTGATGCAGCATAATATCCTCTACTCTATCCATGTTAACATCAAGGCCATAACTGAAATTACACCAAACAAACCACATAAGGAGCCACATTAAGATATCAAAGCTCCCTTATAAGGAAAGGCTCAGAATCATATTCTACTACTATTATACACAAATCACTGAACAAAAGGCAATCTCCACCTCGTTCGGGAAAATGATAAACAAAAGGAAACTACATTTCTAAGAAGGTCTGAGAATTCACGACTTTTAATCCTACAGGGACAAAGAATCGTTTCCTTTAGCAGTTCCAGGAAAGATACGCTCAGAAAGTTACAAAGCAAAGGAAACAATTCACTTTTCCATATCCGAAAGTTACAGTCCAATAAGATACCCCTCAAAGAAGGCATTGCTTCTAAGCCGTGGTTATAAACTACTCTTGCCGTCATCGGTGCAAAAAGAACAACCTGCCGGTAAATCTACAACTAGCACGAGGATCAAACGGAGAAGTAAAGCCTACAGCTCCCTAAAACTGATTCAGAAGGAATAGAAAAATGATCACCAAAACTAGCAAGCAGCTAACAAACGAACTCGCAACTGATTCAAGCAGCGATCATCCAGCGACTAAAAATGCACAAGAAAATGGGGGGAAAAGATCATCTACCAGTAACAACAAAGGAAAGCGAACACAAATTAGATACCTAGCAGGAAGGCGATTGAAATGCGCATCGAGGCGAAGGCGGAAGAGGTCGGGTTCGGAGACGGCCTCGTCGTAGCCATTCTCAATCAGTCGATTGAAGACGTCGTTCCTGACATCATAATTGCCGAAACTCCCGAAGCTCCTCGGCGGCGAACTGCTCTCCCCGACGCCTTCCGTCAAATCCATTTCCGGAGACGGGAATAGAAAGATAGAGAAAGCAAGAAGACGAGAGAAACGGGGAAACCTCCTCTTGACTTTGAATTCACGGAACTCTGACCACCGCTGCCGCCATGGGAGAAGAAGGTATGGCAAGGGAAGGTAGTGGGAGTTTATAGTGTGAAGAAGAAAGGGGAGAGTATCTTTGACTGTAGCGATGGAATCTGTTGGAGGGGCAAGGGGATTTTGGAGGGAGGGAAGGGCAGTTTCGTCTGATTCATGACCAAAATAGCGCAAAAAAAAAGGTAAGAAATTATAAAAAAGGACCATAAAAGTGGATAGGATTTGGTCATATTTTTTCTGTTAATCTTTAGGGGTAAATGACAAAAAGGTACCTGGTACTCGTGTAAATTATAAGGTTATAATTTATCAAAGTGTTTCGTGAAAATATATATACTTATCTTCTTATTTTTTTATGAAAGACTAATTTCAAATTAACTATAATAATTAAATAAAATTATCAGGAAAATGTTTTAATAAGTGATATATTTATAATTTTGTATTTTTCTAGCAAATACTGTAGCTCCTTATTTAGATAATATTTAGGAGACATTATAATAAGGTCCAACAACTTTAGGTATCTACCTTTCCTACCACTGAACTTTCAGATAACTGTAATTTAGTCTTTTTTGCATTAAATAAGTGATATTGTTGTGTAAATTACAATGGAGTCCCGGATGTTATTTTACATTATCAAAGTTGATGGCATTAATGTTTTGTTTCACAATTTATAGATGGAAAAAAAGGTAATTTTATGGACGATGAGATCGAGGAAACATCAGTTAACGTCGAGCATGTTTGACAAGTGGACTTTTAACGATGAATAACAGAGAATTTAATTATATAGGTGTTGTAAATTACACCTGAGTCCCTGATGTTATTTTTACATTATTAAAGTCTCTAGTGTTACTGTTTTGTTTCGCAATTTATAGTTGAAAAACAAAGTAATTTAATGGACGATGAGATCGAGGAAACATCAGTAACGTCGAGCATGTTTGACAAGTGGACTTTTATCGATGAATAGTAGATAATTTAATTAACCACTACAACCAAACTCTATTAGCATAAAAATATTATGAGAAGGGTTCAACCAAACTCGATTAACATAGGCAATAGCTCAAGTAACTAAAGTAAATAGAGTAGGCAAATTAAGATCATTTGGAATCTCCAAGTGAAGTCGTCTCTTAATCGTGTCATACGAGCACCAGAATCTCTCTGCCTGGAAACTGCCCAAATTTTAGGCCAATGAGAGCTTAAGAAACCAAATACCTCATAGAGAAGATCCTCCATGATCATCTTTGCTATATGGTATAACAAAAAGCTATATCTAATATTATTAGCATTAATATCGGTAACCTAATTATTTCTTACCTTTGTTGGAAGTTGACTTTCCTTACAGTCATAATTAAATAGAAAGTTTTTAGATTTGGAGCATCATATTTTTCTAAAGTCCAACAGTAAGATGCACCATCTCCATTGTGGGAACATGAAGAAAAAATCACATTAAGAATTTGAGAACTTCAATGACTTAGGTCATCTCAGGTATAATCTAGAGATAACAATCTGAACTCGTTCTGTCGAGTATTACCCGACTTAATTCGTGATGGAGCATGTATCACTCGATCTGCAGTAGTGTGGACGGGGCGTGAGTGTCTACTTCCTAGCCGCTTTGCCTCCCCCTGGCCCTCCTCGTTCTTGGCTCATTATATCTCAATTAGTCAATTTCTTAGGATATATATTACATTTCTTCAACCAGTTGGACTTGATCTTTCAACTAGTTAGACTCAATTACTCATTCTATTATCACTATTTTTCATTCATAAAGTATTTTCCCTTCGTTTTATCGTAAAAAGTGGAAATTTGTGTGTATTTTTTCAAATAACATGTAAGAGTTGGTCGACCCGCCCCAAACTCGCACGAGTATTACCTATCCCGACCCACAATAGCATAGGGTGGAGCATGTGGATTGAGGTACCGAGCACCAAACTTATTTAATTTCAATATTTTGTATTAATAAACATAAATTACTCCCATTTACTCATGTTGTGCCCTAGCTAGTTGCACATATTCTCCATAAACCAACATCACTTCTGATCTTCTTCACCAATAAGGTAACCCATCTAATTCTTTTAAGTTATTTCTCTGTTATGAAGCATTAAGAATCTACTTAATATTGTGATTGCTGAAGAATTCTAAATCTTGTTGGGCATTTGTGTTCAAAAGTGTGATAATGAAACGAATCTTTATAAATAGTGATCACTTGAGCAAAAGTATATATGTAACAACCCATAATGAAATCCGTTCGTCATAGGAATTTGGCTCAAAGCTCAAAGGTAGTCCCAAGCGGTAAGAATCTCATCACCAAGAGATAAGACCTTAAAAGAACTAATGATGCTTAACGGGACATTCCAATAATTTATAATAACATGTGGAAGTTAAGTAATGATGCGGGTTAAATGCACCACTTACCACTTAAGTATCATATATGTTGCATACTAACCACTTAACTTGTTTTTGTTGCAACTAAATCACATAAGTTGAATTATTGTTGCAACTAAACTATTTTAATAGAATTATGGTTGCAACATCACTATTTCCATCCACAAATTTAACAGAGGGTACCAAAAAGAAACTATTGTACTACCATTTTGAAAAAAAGTTAAATCTATATAACTATTTTGCATAATTGTCAAACTTATATTACCATTTTTTAATAAGTTTGCCTTCCTTCCACTCTCCTACTTCTCCTCCCTGCATCACCTCACCCGTCACCACCCTCTGCTAACAGAGCCAACCCAAATATGACAAACCTTTCCTCTTAAGACTCCATATTGATCTCTCTCCTTCTACACCAACTAAGCTCTACAGATTCCTATCTTCTTTCTTCCTTTTACATCTCAGTCTCACTCTCACTCTCCATCTCTCTCCCTCTTCCAATTTGTGAGTTATTCACAGAGATTTTCGGAGCTCAAATCTAACCTCTGTCTTCTTAATCTACTCTTGCTAGAAAGGAGTCATATTCAACAGTTCAAATTATGGGTTTTTGATTGGATTGAATTAACATTCGACCAAGTTTTTTCCCCATTGATAGATTAAAATGTGTTGAAGTTTTCGCCTGGGGATGGCTCTATAGCCTTGCTCCCTTCTTCAAATTATTTATTCAATCCATTGAATTGGTAGTTATTCCAAAGACGCCGCTGATATGCTAACCCAATATCTCATTCACATACTGAGAGGAATAAGATATCAGAGAGAGAGGAAAACAGAGTATTTGTGTATGGCTCTCATGGATTCGAGCAGTAACCGGAATTTCGCGAACTAGAGTGGTGGGTTAAGACCACTATTTCAGTTCTGTTGGCGGTATTTTAAACACAATTTGAAGCTCAGTGGAGGGGGAAAATGCAGTTTAGAATTTTAAATCTCTTCCAGTTTCGTCCTTCCTGAATAGAAAAGGGTAGTGGTGACTGGTGAGCATATGAAGAGGGAGAAGAAAGGGGAGATGGGAAGGGTAATTATAAAAATTGGTCATATAATTTTGGTATTTGTGCAAAATGATTGTAGGAATTATTTTTCCCCCCAAAATGGTAGCACAATAATTCATTTTTGGTACTTTCCGTTAACTCTTTGGATGGAAATTGTGACGGTGCAACTGTAATTCTACTTATATGATTTAATTGCAACAAAATCAAGTTAAGTGGTTAGTCTGCAACATACACAATACTTAAGTGGCAAGTGATGCATTTAACCCTAATGATGCTTAACGGGAATTATTTGGTGGAAAATAAAGAAAAATGGACTCAATTCAAACCCAACCCAAATTCAAAACATTAGTAGTGCATATGAGCTCATTTGGATTGACCCAATACTAATATGGATTATGAAAATTATATCAAATTACTCAACGGAGTAGCCAATTGTCATTCCTAACCCCTAGGTATGACAATATGGATGATTAACATTCGTCTAACATAGCAGTATCATATTAGTGCATTAACTTTAGAGTGAGTTTGAACCAAATACACATATGCATAGACACCGATACCAACATGATTGTATACGACATATATAAACGTGATAAGAGAAGGCATGACTACATCTATGCTCAACTATTTGTCGAGACAAGTAAATTAACATAATGGACAAAACAAAATATACATATATATATTCGATTAAAGGGCCTATCACACACCTTAGGCTCGTTTCTTATGTCACAAACTCACAATAAGAGAATTTTTCTCTCTCTGTAAGTGTGAAGCCGTGTCTTCCAATAACCATCCTCGGCATATTTGTGCAGTTATGGAAACTATAATGTGTTCTGAAAGTCTTTCCTCCAACCACACCATTATTCTAGGGAATCTCAAGTAGACAAGTACCTAATCGAACTAGTTGGTGGAAAGTCTGGCAGCAGCACATAATGCACTCATGAAAAACTTGTGATTCCTAAAGACAATCCTCCCCAAACAGAACAAACCCACAAAGGGAATGTTATATTGCAGGAGTACATCGACAATTACCTTAGAAGGAGCAACCCTCATGTTCAATGTTGGAAACTACTACCACAAGGACATTTACTAACACAAGATGCAGCAGGCATTTCCTTACCACATTGGCAGATGGAGGCGGTATATCGATTCACAATAAGAGTTTCAAATCATCATCAAGATCTTTCATTCGATAATACAAACCGCGCATTTGACACTGCAACACACTCATCAATCCTGCAATCACTCTAATCCAATTACCCAAAACAAAAAATCTGAACTTTCACTCGTTAATACGAACGAATGAGTTCGACATTCACACACATCTCATCAATCTTCACAATCACTGTATGAAGTCTAATCCAACTATGCAAACCAAATCTTCAACCCGTATACCAATTGAATGCCTGCTGATGCCATGGCATACCGATTACATGAACACTTCACATTATGCGAAAAGCTCAAGCTTGAATTCCTTGAGAATCAATGCACAACCAGATCAAACAACAGAGAAACACAAAACCACTATGTGGTGGTAATAAAAAGCTCCCCCTCCAAAACTCAGGAAGGGATAGCAAGAGAAAAAGATACAAACAACCAAACACAAAGATCTCTCGAATTCAGAACGCGTACCGCGCGAACGATCAAGGCAATGCAGTGAGCCGTGCATCGTAAGTAAACCCTCTGGAAATCCCATCTCCACCGCCAGGCACTTCATCGATCCATCTCCACGCCGCCCCTTCTCCTTCCCCTTCCTTCCCACTTCCAGAATCATCCCACAGCGCTATTTTCCCAAGCCTTTTGGCTGAGAAACACACTCTGTCCCCTCCACCAAACACCTTCAACTTGCTGGATTCGAGAAAACACCTGTACATCTCCAGTGGCATCCTCCCAGCTTCCTCCCACTCCAACTTCTCCAAATCCAGCCTAAGTATCAGCATCGTCGAGCAAGACGGGTTCAACGAGAAGGTCGACTTCAACCCACCAATCATCAGCAGCTTGTTCCCATCCCCACGCACCAGACGAGGCCGCTTGATGAGATCGAATATATCCGCCCATTCATGCTTCTCCAAGCAAACCCAGTTGTTATGATTCGAGGAACACGAAGAGAACACCCCACTCCCACTACAAACACCCAATTGCTCATGAACTGGAACCGAATTATTCAAATTCAAAGTACAGGTGAACAATTTCCACTGAGATCGCCACGGGGAGCCAACATCGCACAGGGCGAAAACAGAGCTGGAGATCAAAACAGGGCTCCTAGGTTTCGCAGGGAGATTGGAAGCGAAAGTTACCCATGAATCGGCGGCGATGTCGGGCAGGTACAGGGCGGCGGGCTCCATCAGGACCATGACGCGGTTGTCGTAGTCAACCAGGACGGCGCCGTGGCGGGACCAGGCGGAGCCGAGCTGGGGGAGGACCTTGAACTGGCGAGTCAAAGGGTTGCAAGCGAGGAGGGATTTGTTGCTGTTGGAAGGGGGAGAAGCCGTGAGGTCGGGGAAGGGATCGGAGGCCCATAAGTAGACTAGGCCGGCGGCGGAAGCGACGGGGTGGAGGGAGCGGAAGGGGAGGAAGGAGAGGTCGAATCGGAGCCAGCGGCGGCCGCTGGGGTCGAAGGCGGGGAAAGAAGGCTGAGGAGGAGGAGGAAGAAGGAGGGAGTGGTGGTGGCGGTGGTGGTGGAGGTGGGGAGGAGGGCGGAGGGCGATGAGAGAGAGGGGAGGTTTGGAGGAGAGGAGGAGGGAGATGAAGGAAGGGGAAGTGAGGGTTTGGCGGAAGGATCTGCAGACGGATCGGCAGGCGACGATTTCGCGGAGGGTGAGGGAGGAGAAGATCTGGTGGAGCGTCTCCTGTGGGAGGTTGTTCATCGGAGATTCGTCCATTTTGGCGGCGGCGGAGGGAATCGGAGAAGTGGAAGGCGGAGGAGATTGGGGAAAAGGAGGGGATGAATTGAATTGGGTGTGCGTTAGACTTCCAGGGCGTCTATCTGTCGGCTCAGCTGCAAGAGAAGGAAGGAAGAACTTTCTTTTCTATTTTTTTTTATTTTGTTGATTATTTATTGGGTAATATAATTTTCGGGTATCTTGTCTTTGGTGCGTGTTTGGAATTGGATTGGGGGAAAGATTTAGGTGGAGAGCTTTCTGCTGTACTACAGCTTTGTGTCAGTGGCGCTGCCTGCTGAGCTGGTGTTTGGTTGGATTAGGTTGGGCTGGGCCGGGGAATCTTGAATGGGCCGTATCTTATCTCTTAAGGGCCTGCACGAAGGTTGGGTGCTCATCAAGCTTTTGGCGCCAGCTTGGATGGCTCTTCCTAGTTCCTATCTTCCACCTCAATTGGTGAATGATAATCTATTAACCTATTCAAGTTACTTAACTGTCTTGCGAGTAGAGGTGGCAATTAGGATCCAAATTAATGAATCCAATCCAATTCATTCACCAAATTATCCACCTAATCCAATCCATTTAAATCCAATTCATTTGATCCAAATCCAATTGGATTTGTGAATTCATGGATCAATCCATAGATCCAAATGACAAATTACAATTTGGTACCTATATTTTTTATATTTTACATTTTGGTACCTAAAATTTATATTTTTATACGAAAAATATCATTGGAAAATTATATTTTGGTACCTAAAATTATTCATTATGACATTTTAGTACCAAAACTTTTCAAATTTTACATTTTGGTCCAAGCCTTTGATGTCATTTGGATTCATGGATCAATCCACCAATCCATTTGATCCAATCCATGAATCCACCAATCCATTGGATCAAATTCATTTGATCTATGGATCCACCAATCCAATTCACGAATCCACGAATCCGATCCAATTGCCACCTCTACTTGCTAGTCATATTACCGAGCCAGTAAAAATGGGCTAATTCAAGAATTAAGCTCACCATATTACCGAATTAAGTTGGCCTCACGATTCACGAATCTTACAAATCGAACACGACTGAGTTTAATCTCGACTCGTTAGTAAACGAGCAGAGTATCGAATGTATTTTCCGCACACCAAACGTCGAAAACCGCACATGAGCCACTTGCCTCGTTTGCATTCCTATGCTGAGCTAGTATTTGTTGAGTTGGTTCGGGGTCTCAAAGGATGTCCGGCGGGGTGTTTCTCAGGCCACCATTTGCTCCTATACGCCACTATACACTAGATCTTCCAAATAACTCAACCATCAGTGAACAATGGATTGCCAGTTGAAAACTTCCTTCGAATGGGAAACCCTTATAAGTAACTAGGAAAGAATAATTATTCTAGGCGAACAAATACAAGTGTTACCCTAATGAAACCAAGAGACAAACACACAAGTTCTTTCCCTAAACCAAAACATCCAATCCCCTCTCTCTTTCAACTCTCACTTGTGCAACCCACAATCACAGTTCTCACTCCCAATATCCACCGCAACACAAGGCGGCGACACCACCACTCCCTCCCCGACGCCACTACCTGTGTACCACACCTTCCTCTTCTCCACCAGCTCCTCCAGAAACCCGTCCAGCTTCTCGATGGTCACGTTCGGCATCACCACCACGTGAGCAATGTTCCCCTGGCACGCGAGCTGCCACCTGCGAACAAACTCCTCGTCGTGGGGTCGTTCGAACACGACCGTGCTGCTGAGCTCGTTCAGCATGGCGCTGATCCCTGCGTCGCGCAGCTTGTCCTTCAAGTAGTGGGCGTTGCGGAGGCACTTCTGGACCTCCTTCTGGAACCCCTTGTAGCCCTTCTTGTTCAGGGTGTACCACAGGAAGATTGGTGCGTGGCCATTCCGGCTCCCCATGATTGTGGCGTCTCGTGATGCAAGGTACTCGACGTTGCTGGAGAGGACCTTGATGTGGGACATCCTTGTGAGCTGGACGCCGCATGGCATTGGGCACCCGACGAATTTGTGTCCCGAGACGCTGACACTGCCAATCGGTTTCTTGAAGCTGACCTTGGGTGCCTGCACAAAACCAAGGGTGGGTTTGTTTCAGCTCTACAGAGAAGGGTTACTTGGTGAATTGCTGAAATACACCCAATTATGCAGTCACACTCCTTGAAACACCTATTCATGACGTGAAAAGAGAAAAGGAAATAAGGAATGAGTAAAACTACCATCTCCCCCACCTCCAATATGCTTTGCCAGAGCTCATTCTATAAGCACAGATAGACAGAAGAAAATCAGAATCACTTACTCGTTTCACAAAAGGCATCATGAGTCCAAACAAAGCTCCATCGCAATGAATGTAGAACCGATCTTGTGGAAACCCATTGTCTTCAAGGGTCTTTATTACAAGGTCGAGGTCGTCAACTGCTCCTTTTACAGTTGTTCCTGCCACAGGGATAATCCCAACACGGATGAGACAAGGGTGGATGGGTTTTAAACAAGTGCAGATTTGTCTGCAAATGAGAGCACGAGAGAAAAATCGAATGCATAGAGGCTTGATACCTATGTTGACATTAAGGATGGCTGGCTTGTCTTTGTTGGCAAGCAGTTGTTTTTTCAAATCCAAACAATCAATTTCACCGGATGTCAAACAGTCTACCTTGACACATTCCATTCGGTACATACGGGCTGCCTTGAACACAGAATAGTGTGATTCACGGGAGGCATACAAAATGCCATCAGGAAATACTTCCCTCCTGCACAATAAAAATTTGTTACTTTCACATTACTCTTGATCAAATAGTTTGTTCTCAAATCATGGAATGCCATCAAGTAACAAGACACACTAACCCCATTAGAATTCCGTGAAGATTGCCCTCCGTGCCACAATTTGTTATGTAACCCCAGTACTCATCTCTCTCTATCTCCCATAACCGAGCAAACCAGTCCAAGACGCCAACTTCAAACTGTCGTGAATGAACACCGTAGTTGCTCTCGATAAATGGATCCCCAAGATTGTTGATGGAGAAATGTTGCAATTGCGACAGAGCACCATAATCAAAGTCCAAATTATAAGGATAACCTGCAGCAAAGCATAACAAATCAGGATCCATCACCTTCATGGTTACCAAAATTTATGTTACTCGATCCAACACATTTCTCAACACACTCCTCTAACTACAGTGCTTTACAACAGCAGACGAACCCTCAAATGAATATAACAAGATAATACTAGGGACAAAAAGGCCAAAACTCGACATGAACTATGACATGAGTTTAGAGCTCTAATGAATCAAGTCCAACGCTGCTGCTATTACATCAACAAACGCAGTCATTGATTTTCATCTTCAGGGCACAGAAACACTTGCGAAATATGTTGAGGAAAAAGTTCATTTCTTGGACTACACTTAGTGACTTAGATTTCCAAGCCAAAAGGGACATTTCAAACATGTATGATCGATAGATTATCAGCTTGAGCAACAACTACGAAACTTCAAACAGATCGATACCTTCAACATTCACAGGCTTAACCCAATAAAATCCGAATACCAGCTAGAACCAACAAAAACAACCAATTCCTAATTAGCACGAATAAGGGTAAAAAAAGAAGACAAGAAAGATCTGAACTTGATCCATTCAATTACCCAGATGATGCTTAGTCCGCTCGAGCAAGTTGTTTCTGTAGCGAGCAAGGACGCCGGCCATGTAGGCGTCTTTGTCTCCGGTGAAATCGTCGTTAGCGTCGGGCTCCGTGACCTCCAGGCACGCCGTGTGCACGTTTCTCCCCAGCACGATCTCCTTCTGCTTCGCCCCGCCGGTTCCCACGCCGCCGCCGTTCTCCGCAGCGACGACGGGAGGGAGCGGCTCCGCTCGCACGATGGCGACGGGATCGAACTCGCCCTTCAAGCCGTTTAGATGCGGAGCCGTCGGGGTCATCACTGCCTGAACCTCCATGGCGGGTTTCGATCGGTTTTTCCGATTAGGCAGCGGCGGCGCTCAGGTACAGGAATCGGGAGGAAATGCGAGCAGGGAAAGGAGGCAGAAGCAAAGAGCCGATTGAGAAACGAGATCGGTTTTTAACGAAATAGGAGTTGTGGAGAACTGGAAGCGGCGGTGGGCGGTGGCTCCTCAAAACAAAATATTTTTATTATATACGTCGCCGTCAAATTATTTTATACAGTTTCAAAAAACCAATGTTTATCATTTGTTGATCAAGTTAATTTTTCTCATTATCGGAAGAAAATATCTTTTTAATCGTTATATTTCGATTTATTATTGACTTGATTATTAGAGTGCTAACGAATTATTGTCTCATTTTTTGGACTAACTAAAAAATTAAGTACCTAAAGAAGATCGTCTCGTGGTCTGACTTCACTCCATAATTAGTTAATCATGAAATTTATTTAGGATTTAGGCTTACAAAAAATATGAATATAATTCGACATGAAACTAGAACTTAAATTTGTTTGAGGTTTTTGGGAGGGACACATAACAGGTTAAAGGCGGTGGTCGACGTTCGGGTGCGACGCCGTTTGGGATACCGGACGGATGGGTCAGTAGAGTAGAGATTCTTTCTCACGGGCTGCGTGCACTGCGCTGATTGGGTGGGAGAAGAGACGTGGGGAATCACGTGTTGTATGAGGACAGGTCTTATCTCTTGGATCATGAATTGGGGTGTGGGCCTGCTCTCGCTTGTTATTTAGGGGTGGTTTGGTAAACTGAGAATAGCCAAGTTTTTTGAGCTAATACCATTAAAAATACTAATTTTTTAGCCCTAATAAAAATATTATTTTTTAGCGAAAGTGTATGTTACGTAAATTTCATTATGTCATTTGTATACTATTTTATCTTTTCCGTTAGTTTGATCGTTATATGTAACTGAAAACGAGCTAATGCCTAGTCAACGTCTACCTGACTCGTTGAGGTGGAAGTTTTTAACTAAACAAAATACAAATCAATAACACAAAAAGGGTAAAAAAAAAATGTTTCTTCTCCCCTCCCTTCTTCCCTCGACTCTCTCCTCTCGCCCTATCCCTTTCACCTTTTGCCTTTCGTTCTTCTCTCCTCATCTCTTCCCCCCTTCTCACTCCTCGACCTGAATCTTTCGTCATAAGGGGGGTAGTGCAGACGAAGATTCGGGAGATCTTCATGTCGGCGTTGAGCTCGACGCTGACGAAGATGAAGATTGTGTTGTGGATTAAGTCTAAAGGGGAGAAGCTCGCCAGGGGGGTCATACCTTATTAGTTGTTCCCCTTGTTCGCAAGTGGCACCTGTATCAACTCGTTGTAAACGTGGTCTCGTTGCACTTATGATGTACGTGGATGATATGGTGGCCACAGATGATGATGAGGCGCATATTAAATGTCTTACTGGTGGTTTTCATGCTGCCTTTTATATCAAAGAACTCGGATTGCTCTCCTATCTTCTTGGGATTGAGATCGAGCGTTATCCAGAAGGTATCTTACTTTGGGAGAGTGAGTATATCGTTGACTTACTTGTCTCTACACGATTTGATGAATGTATACCAGTGTGCATACCTTATGGAGCTCCATCTCAAGCTTGGTCGTGACACTGGTCAACCATTGGTGGGACACTAGTCATTATTGGAGAGTGGTTGGAAGTTTGATCTACTTGACCATCCCCGATATTTCTAATGTTATTTAAGTTTAACTCGTGAGTTAGTTCATGATCACTCCTATAGATGTCCTACTCTCGTCCATCGTATACTCCGATACTTTACAAGGTACACACCATGTTGGCTTATTGTTGTCTTTCGATGGGTCTTCCTTGGCCTTACAAGCTTTCTCAGACTCTGATTATGGTTGCTCGGGGAATACGTAGAGTAGTTACATAGGCTTTGATTCAACAATACGAAAACCTAATCGCCTTCGACCGTAGACAACAGACTGTTTGACGCAGACAACAATATTTTTTTATAAAAATAACACCGTCGGCACTAGAAGATCACAAGAAGATATGCCACTAACTAGACTTTCTACAAATACATAAATTACAAGATAATTGGTTAATCAAACACCGTGAAGTGCCAAATAACTAAGACAGCAGCTGTATCCGATGTGACAAGTACAAACGTCTTATAAGTTATAACAATTCCCTCCGAACTTTGATAACTTTGACCCCCTGCTGCATTTATATGTACATACTCTGGCATATACAGGATGCTACTAACTCTCTCTGTGGTATTGAATTTGATCAACTTTAATGTCGTAAAATGTTTGGATTCCAAATCCATATCAGAGTTGAATCCATATGGGAGGTTTTCTTCCGCAGAGTCCAACTACACCCTCTGGCTGCTGAAGCTCGAGAAGCTAGGGCGGGTTGCCCCATTGCTCGGAGGTGACTGTGGTGGAAGACCCTGTTGCTGTTGCTGTTGCTGTTGCTGTTGCTGGGTTTGGTTACTGCTGTTGAACCCACCGGGAAATGCTGGCTGCTGATGAGGTGGAAAATGGGGTGCAAGACCCCGATGGTAAGGGTTTCCATTTGGCATTTGACTTGCTGTTATCTTCAGGCGCTGCACTTCCTCTCTCAGTGCTTCATTCAGAGCTGCCATTTGAGCAAACAAGTGTTACCGGATACAGAATTCCATTCAGAGCTTCATTCAAAGAATAAGAGAAATGAAAGGGGAAAAAAGATGCTCTATAAAACTAGAAGCATATAGTTCCTGGTGATATGCTTACCATCTCTAAGGTGGGCTTGTTGTTCCAAAGCTTGCAACCGCAGTTTCAATTCTTTGTTCTCGGTAGTCAATCCAGAAGTATCCCTCTGCAAACCAAGAAGCAACAACGAATCATGCTTCTAGAACTCATCATCAATAAACTTTTTCATGGATTAGGTTATAGAGCTAATTAACTGTGCTACCAAAAAAAAAAAAAACAAAACAAAACCGAGAAAGCCTCCAACATTTGGGAGCTCGGCGAAACACATACTTGGGAGTTGGGAGTTTTTGTCAATTAACATAAAGTGACAGTGTGTAGAAGGGGGGTGCGGAGGATACAGAAAGGTGGTAGATGCAAAGTAGGTTAGACTGAACTATCTGCAAGAAAAGAATACAGAAAAAAAGCATGCAGCAGTTCAGTGCACAGGATGCCATTATCATGTGAATATTGCAACCTGTAGTTAAGTCAAACAGTGACAGGCTCTCGGACGACGAAATTTGAACTGATACAAACTCTGGAACAGCATTGAGGTGAAAAGAATAGTATTTTCCCTGTTGGAACCAGAAAACCAAATAGCTATTGGATCACCTAAAACTTTAATTGCTAGAATCAACCGATTAAATTTTCTGATATAGTAAAGTCACACAATGACCATACTATAGCTGAAGAGTAAATCCTTAAAGTTCTGTGCGCACCAAACAGCATGTAGTATCAACCACTCTAACCAATTCTCAGTGCGATGCAGGTGATGATAGACATAAATCACAAAGGATTTCACCAATAAGCATGAAGAAAGTACAAATTATTCACCCAAGACATCTGTCAAGCCTTTCAACACACCCTAGGTCCCTAATCAACTTAATGATAAAAAAAAATGTATCGCTGAAGATATACAAATCTAGAGAACAAGAAACTGAAAGTGATGTGTAAGCAAGCAGCTTCAGCTCATGTTGATTGACACATAACAGATTCCTCCAAAAAGAGACGAAGTCCAGGTCCTTTTAGATTATAACAGAAAATGTGACTGATAGAAATCAACTGGAAGCAAATGGCGCCTTGGTTTTCTTTGTAATCTTCAAAACAGCTTTCCCCAAGACATTCCAAGATAACAAAATCATTAACTGGCTTTACCAATGACAGGTTTCTTTTTTGGTAATGGTGACATACCAATGACAGGTTTCTTATTTCCAATACCACATGATAATTTACCATAGCTGCCTGTTCAACTTTGGTGAATGTCAATGTCACATGACTGAGGAACCAGAGTAATTGAGCATCTTTATGGAGATGTCGGGCATCGTGACCTTATTATTTACACTAAAACCTTTCAGTTGGGGTTATATACTACAAAGCATTCTGAATAATTCCATGAAATATTAGTTTAGTGCCAGTAAACGAATATTATTTTTGGACACCTGCTTTTCTTACTTGAACCATTTTCAATATACCATGATGGACCAATAAATCTGTTTTGCTTTTCTAAAAGAAGAGGGGATACAAATCCTGGATCATCAAGAGAAACAAATGACCATGCACAACAGAATGACACAGTTAAACGAAGAATGAGCTTCATTTGGTCTCTTGTCTCAAAGAAAATGGTCACTGGACAGTACACATCCAAACATGAATAGTATTTGGTGCAATAATGGTGATAATTACCACAAAACAGCTTTAAAATATATTACTATCAAGGACTTTGTAATATAATTGTTTAGATAACAAGAAACTAAGAACCAAACAGCAGACATGGGATAGTTTCACAATATTAAACAATGGCATGCAAGGCACAGAACTGAACAGCAGCAGCATATTGGCTGGTTACGAAAACCTAACAAAACAAACCGAATGAACAAGATGCTGAATTGACCTACTTCCAGGAGATATAATTGACTTTAGAACTTATTCTCAACATCGCTAACTAAAAGCATCTTAATAGAAAGCAGGAAAAGCAAAGGCAATCCCTTTTCTCTCCCTGGACCTCAAAGCACCCAGTGCAAAAACTATACTTAGTGACACGGTGGAATGCCATGAGATTCATACACGTTAACCTATCCTCCTATGACCATAGCAGCAACAAGCTTCAATATAAAGTGTCAAGTACGAAAAAGGAAAATCAGTCACTACAAAGGACCAAACTAGATCATCATCTACAAAGCCAGCAAACTATGCTAGTAAGTAGAGTTCCACCATTAAGCTAACCGACCGACGAAGAACAGGCCGAACTTGAGTAGAAACTCTTAAAGAACTTCAGAGCTCAACACAAACAGCTAAAAACACTACAGACACAGAAGCAAAACACCAAGCACCATTAAAGCACACAGCTTTTTTTCCCGGGACGTACCTGTAGCACTGTGACCTGCGCAGAGAGGGTGGTAGCTTCCGTTTGCAGAGTATGAACCTTCCTCTCCAGCTCACTGGTATACCGGGTCTTCCTCTCCTTTGACCTTGCAGCAGATTGCCTATTCGCAAGAATCCTACCCAACAGCAAAAAAACACTCAGATACTCAGATTCAAAACAGGGAAATGAAACCCTAACAGTACACGAAGGCAAACAATTGGAGCTGAACAGAAAACAAAACAACAAAAAATCGACCAACCTTTTAGCTCTCTTGGGATCAATCAGAGCGAGCTCGGCCAGTCTGTCTGGCGCCATGGACTTCTTAATACCATCATCAGTCATAAGATAAGAATCCCCTTCAAACGACGCCGAACAACTCGAACCGTCCATGGAGTTGCTATGCCTGTGGTGAACCCTCCTCTCTCCTCCAGCTCCCATCCCCATCCCTTTGCCGCCAAGCTTCTCATCTCCGTAGCCGGAACCCAAAGCAAACCCGTCGAAGAAGTCCGAGTCGACGGACAGGCTGCGGAGGTGGTTGATTGGCTTGGCCCTCGAATTGGGCGGCGGTGCGGGGCCGGTGGACGTGGAGTCCTCGGAGAGCGGCGGCGAATCGATCGCCATCGGAGCGCCGCGGCGCGGCGGAGTTGGAGTCGGTAGGTCAAGGGAAGAGAGGTCGAGGTCGGAAGGGTCGAATAGGAGCAGGTCGTCGAAGCGGAAGGAGGTGTCGGAGTGAGCCCGGCGGTGGTGGTAGCCCCGCTGCGGGGTTTCCGGCATCTGCTCTATGTCCAACGGCCGCTTCCCGCCGTACTTGGCGGGATCCATAGCGGAACGGCGGTTGTTCACGGCGGCGGGCGGGAGGGCGGTGGTTTGTAGTAAATTGGGGGAATTTTTTTCTGAGCTTTTGGGAGTTGGTTCAGTAAGTAAAAGACTATTTTTTGGTATGTGTTCCTTGTTTTGGGGCTAGTGGAAGGGTTCGAGCGGCTTATTAATATTATTTTATTCTTGGAGACCGTGATTGAGTGGATAATTATCAAAATGGTCATATCACATTTACATTATTCACAAAATGATGCCATAGCTTTTATTTTTTCCCCTCAAAATTGTGGTGTAAAATGACTACTTATTGCCATCTCCAATAATCTCTATACACCAATTCCTTAAATTTGTCACTTCAACTTCCCATATCATCGAAAAATTCAAGAACAAAAAATTTAAGTTTTGTCTAAGCACTGAAACTTACCCACCGTAACGATAAACAACCAATGGTCTATTTTTTAAAATAGGCAAAAAAAAATTGATAACGATCCGGCGAAGTCTGCAGTGGCCAGTGACCAATGACCATATTATGATAACTTTTTAAAATTATAATAATTCCATTTTGTGAAGAAAAAATAAACGCTACATGGCCATTTCATAGGATTTCTGAAGTTATGGGACCGGTTCGGATAATTACCCCCTCATTGCGTGTGCTGTGGTTAGAAACTTTGAATGGTGTTTTCGGTAGAATAATTATTTGTTTGCGCGTATTAGTTAGTTTTGTAAATTTGGCAACAAGTGACCTGTCATGTTGAAACTTTTTGGTAAGGAATCTTCAACCTTGTACATCTGAGAAGAGAAGACACACGTTAGACGGTAGTAAAACGAAACAAAGACATAATTAAAAGAAAATCAGTGAAAAGATTAATGAAGAAAAAAATTATGCTATTATGCTTATATAAGTACTGTTACTTTCTCTTTAAATTTTATGGAGAAAAAAAAAAGAATTCGTCCCTTTAATTTTATTATATAAATTCAGTTTGTATCTATAATTTTGTGTAAATATTTTTTTATGATACATTATGAACATGTACCTTAACGTTATGGTACAAATTCAACATCTATATGAAAATTAGTGTACAACCATAAAATAGAAAATTAGTGTATGGAACAAATAATTACAAACTTTAATATAAAATAAGATATTGTGTCTAGGGAGTTAGGGACATAATGATTTGTTTAGCGATGCTGGATAATTAAATATAATTTGAGCATAATGAAGAGAATAAAAAGGTGAAATCAACCCAAACACAAAGTGAAGCAGTTGATGAGCCATGTTTGCTTATGAGTGGAGGATATATAAAATAGATTCATTTTTCATTTTTGTTGATAATAGAAAAGAGATTCACTTTAAAGGAGGAGGTTAGTCTTTTTCACTTTTTCAAAATGTGATGAGTGACATAAAAAAATAGGGTGCCCCTACGGTGATATGCATGTCACAGTGATTTGCACTTTCTGGTCGATTTCAGTTAGGATTAGGTCGACTTTATTTAGGATTCGGTCGACCTCATATAGGATTAGGTCTACCTAATCTGTTGTTTCAGTGTAAAAACAGTTCATGGTGCCTACTTTAGAGATTCATATCATACAATTGGCTAGATGGAAATTGAAGACTAATGGCTTGTTTTGAAGTTGGAGTGTCCCTCTAAATATTGAAGTGATTGAGAGCTCGATACGGAAGTCCAGAAGACCATTTTTGAACCTCCTCAAAAGGCTATGCCAAAACTGGGAAACTGCCAGGAAATGGCTAAGTCTGGAAACGTGTTTGTGAAGCCTATTTCGGAGCTCAATTCGAGAAGCATGAATGCGCGTCGAGTCCAGGAGCCTCTACCAAGTTAAATTAGGTATGTTTTTTTTTTTACAAATTCAAGACATTGGATGAAAGATTGGATATCTTATAAGGCTTCAAACAAAAGGGTCGAAGTTGCTACGAAGGCTGTTTTTCTGGCAGACTTCGAGCACAAGCAAGCTGCAAGAAAAACAACATTTGTAGCAACTTCGAGCCTTTTGTTTGAAGCCTTAAAGATATTCAATCTTTCATCCAATGCCTTGACTTTGTTGAAAAACATACGTAATTTAACGTGGTTGAGGCCCCTGGACTTGACTCGCATCCATGCTTCTCAAATTGAGCTCCAAAGTAGGCTTCACAAACACGTTCCCAGACTTGGCCATTTTCAGGTAGTTTCCCAGTTTTGACATAGCCTTTTGATCAGGTTCAAAAATGGTCTTCTGGACTTCCTATTGAGCTCCCAAGTACTCCAAACACGTACTATATTTTGAATCGCCGAAACCAACATTTGTAATGAAAGACACTAAAACTTGTCAAATTAGTTGCAACAACAATCTGTTACTAGCTAGCAACCATTTTGATTTGAAGGCAACGTTATACCAAACGAACCAAGCATGATTATCCCTTTGCACCAAACTGTCCTATTACAAGGGCGATGCACATCAATTATTTAGTTCATATTCTACCCAAAATATTATTTAGTTCATAAACTACCCTTCAGGCGAATACTAATCTATTCAATAATGCTTCTCTTATCTCTTCATTTTCTATTCAGGAATCTTAGTGTCGGTGTAACATCCAAAATCGATTGATTTATTTATCTAATTTGTTCAACCGTACTTTGATTCCACAAAATGATATGATAATATTAATTAAATTATGAGGTTACAAATATTAAAAACGGTACCGAAGTAATTTCACAAGCAAAAGCCAACTCATATAAGTTTTGCATAGATCAAAATATGTGGTAAGAAATGAGGTCATCCGGATCCCAACAAAAAGACCTTACAGTTACATACATTATGGTAACATGTCGAGAACTAGTTGGATTCAATAACTCGAGTTATTAGAATAATGAATAGAAGGAATAAGGAGAGAAAGAAAATAGACACAACTCAAAAGTCAAACGCCCAGATTGGTAGGCTGGACAAACCCAAAACCAGAGGGAAGGATTCGTGCTTCCTTCCTTTTATATATTCGCAGAACCATTTCTTTCGCAGTGAAAAGTGTGAAAAGCTACCCTTTTATCTTAGAAAGAAAAAGAATCAATCAGTTGGAAGTTGCAACTCCGACAACCGAGTCCCTCCTATGTTACATCCTAGCAAATCTATCGAAGACAGAAAAGAGTGAAAAACAGTGAACGTTACGCACGATAGACACATCTCTGGTTCCTTGCTTTTGTCCTCCTTCAACCACCTCCTCTCTGTACAAATGGCTGAAAAGTGAAAAGCTGTCCTAGCCACCATCAAGAAGGCTTCTTGCTCCTCTTCTTCGCGGTTTTAGCAATGGCAATGGCATCACAAATCTCTCTTTTACGCTTATGGTTGTTGCTGGTGACATTGTTATTGTTGACGTTCTTATCGTCGTTGGTATTCCCACCAGTGCTAGCAGGTGCAGTTTTACTTTGTGCTTCAAGAGCATCCCTCACAAAGAACTTCAGCCTCCACAGTGTAGATTCGCTCTGCAGGAGACGAAAACGACGAGACTGTCAAATCGTCAGGAAAACCTGAAAAGTACTGTAAATAAGACATAACGACCTGTGCATCGATGTCCAGGTCCACTTCCTCGGCTGTTGCTTGGAAGCCTGGGTTATTTTGAGCAACTATCTCCAGCGCTTTTGTGAGATCTTCAGGAGACAATCTTGTTAGGGCTCCCCCTAGCTTTCTTTTATCTTCAGTGGACCATTTTCTGCAGCAGTAGAAGATGTAAAAAGTTATATTAGAGCATTGATACAGTAGACAAATGGATGACCAGTTCTGCAGATGTTAAACAAATAAAAGAATATCGTCAACTAACAGATCTTCCTTTCGACTAATAAAAATCAAAGTTAGCAACTTCGTCATATGAAACAATTTGTGGCTACCCGTTGATAAGAAACCAGGAGAGAAATCCACGACAAAGAGACATGATGCACTGACCAAACCAAAGGTAGGTTAAGAACTTGACTAGTATTGTTGTGCTGTTAAGCATGGGGTTCTAAAACCTTGTGGATGTGATAAGGGATGGGGAATGGGGAATACGGTTCCCAAAATCAGAACTATGCCAAAATGAATGTGGATTTACTGATTTCGATCAGAATATAGAGCCTCAAACAGATTACGACAAACCTGCAGTTTTGAACAACCATTTCTCTAAGCTCCTCAAGATGCATATCAAGATCATAAAGCTGAAAGTGATAGAGCGGGTCAGTAATGTTAATCTCTTGGCATACCAATCCCATAAGATTGGATGCTTTGGCTTCTTAAAATTATATCTCCGCAAAATGCAATTGCAGCATTACCTCATTGCTCAAATCTTTTGTGATTTTAGCATGAGCAGCCTCCTGGGCGAGCTGCATGTCCAACTGAGCCTCAGCTTCCTCCTCTTCTCTTCTTCTCTCCTATGAGTAGAAGTGTTAGCAGGGTGCAGAACTAGGAGCAGAAGTAAACAATTATAAAAAAACTGGATCAGGGTACAAAAATCTTAGACCGAGTTAGCTCGATGGAACATTACCTCTTCAGTGACTTTTGGAAGAAATTGCAACCATTTCTCTTCAAACCTGACCATCAAAGTTCTTGCCATAAAATTAACATCACTCCCTTCTTCGTTATATTTCATTGCATTCTTGAATATTAACCTCACATCAGCACATATCTCCCTGACATTCTTATAACCAGTACCATCCTTGGCCTCCATCTGATTTTTTATTGTACTGAAGTCCATCGGCTTGTCAATAACCTAGTGAATGCCACACGAATCAAATCGATCAACTCAACAAAGAAACAAATATATTGAAGGTAACCACAAGGGATTACTCAAAAGAACCTCAGACTAGAGTTGCTAATCACAATATGGTTAAGGCCACCGCATGTGCATACATGCTAAGCAGCAGATAAACAAGGGATTAAGTAATTCACAAATCACTACATCTAATCTTCGCGTGCATAAATTTCGGCAAGAATGGGCCTACCAAGAAGAATCAGTCATTTCCCACTATAAGCAATTTCAATCATCAGTTGACCTGCCTTTTTTAGAAAAAGTGAACATTTGAAAAGTTTACATGTTGCTTCATGCAGATGTAAGTACCTGGACAGTCATACACAACAACTCAAAGTAAACAAGTGAAAATTTTCAATTTCCATTGTCCTTCCGCACTTTAAGTTTGTCCAGCAGGAAATCACTTTATGTTACAAACACCAACCCTCCCACACAGCAATTAGGAAGTTCAAATTATCAGTAGTTCCACGATCTTTATGCAATATGCACCTGATATTATCATGAACATCTAATGAAGTCATGACCACTTTGAGGTACGAAATATATTTTCTTGGGAAGCTTTAGTCTCGTATGGATGTGTTTTGAGCTTATTATGCTGTCTTTCAATAATCAGAAACCAGGACAACAACAATCAAACAGAAAAGAATAAAAAAAAATGTATTTCGTACCTCAAAGTAGTCATGTAAGGCAAGACCTTTCACATCCACTGGTTGCATAAAAGGCCATGCCCATTTGTGCATGGTCAGCTGAGAGAGACCACAAAGATAAAAACTTTCAGATGGTTCAACATCCAAACTTTCATCCCAAATACTCAACTACAACGAAACAGGAACAATCGGAAGCAAAAATCCCAATTTACCTGCTTAAGAACAGTTCCAAGTTGTCGCATAAGCTCCTGCATTCTCTTAGCAGCCGCCGCTTCACGCCTGGAAGCATCTTGCTGCTGCTTCCTCATGCTAAGAACCTGCTTCTCTTTCTCCTTCACCGCCGAGCTCCCTTTCGAACCCGTTTGCTGCTGCTTCTTGCTCAAGTTGGTATAGAATTGTTCAACCTCGTTCACCTTCTCCTCCAGCTTTGAACAATACACATTCCCGTTAAAATTCCCACATAAGAAGATCGTCTCTTTCGGAGAAAAACGGAAGCCAAAAAGATGGGGGGGAATTCAGTAGAGATCGTTTACCTTATCGACTTTCTGAACAACTTCGTCGACGCGGAGCGTCAAAACCTCGACTTCGGCCGGGTTAGGGTTGTGGTCAAGTACGGCAGCGCCGGAATCCGGGAGTGGTGCTGCAACTGCCTCCATTGGTCGCCGGTAGGGAAGGGACCAAGGAAGCAAAATTGTAGAAAATATCGATTTCTATCGGGGAATTGAGGAATTATAGAGGGACTGGAAGAGTAGGGGGGAAAAACTAAAGCCGCCGGAAGGCGGAGGCGGAGGCGGTGCGAGAAACGGAGAAAAGGGTTCGCCGCCGCCACTCGGAGGGAAGACGATCGAAAGCTCAAGGCAGTGGGTAGTTTGAAACGACGACGTTGCTGTTGATACGCTAGTGATTTTCTGCGAAAGGTCATTTTTAAGTTGGGCTGGACTTATGGGCCAACAATCTAATGGGCTTGGTTCATATGATTGGTCGCATTAGGTTTGTTTGGCAAAGTTTTTCTCGGCTCTCCCGCCTTATTGGCTTTATAAGGCCATGTCAACTTTATGAATTAATAATGGATACAACTGGGGCTTGAATGTTTAGTTTTTGGGTTTCATGGCAAGCCTGCATAGGGAGCACGCCTAAGTAAATTGCTCAACTAGCAATGTGGTTATATGACACGACCGATAGTGCGAAACATGGCTTCTCAGACTAAGAAATGGAACACTAATGGTGGAGACTGGTTAGACATGGTACCAAACCGACAAGACAGACTTTGTGGAGATGCGAATATTATACAAATTTGACGAGTCGTGCTTTTGTGGCAAGACGTAAGGGAGAGCAATGTATCAAGCTGACTATGTGGGCTTAGTGGCGAGGTGAAAGAGATATCAAACCGTTAAGAAGGGCAAGGTCGCAAGGCAACAAGATGGTATTAGTGGCAAGTCCACGAGACGAGTTTGGTGTCAAGTCCAACAAGGTACAAGCGAGAGGAGCAAAGTACCAAGCCAAGGAGATGCATCATGATGATGTCTTCAAGGCTAAGTGTGGATTATTGGTAGGTACCAAGCTGAGAAGATGTGTGTGGTACCAATACAAAAATGTGATGCATTGGAAGGTTAGGTACTTAGGCATGAAAGGGGTTAGGTTATCATCCCATCAAGATGGATAGTGAGCCCATGCGAGAAATATAGTTGTGTTCAAATGGCAGAAATACAAGTAGTATGGCTTTTAAGGCTGCCAAGGAGCTCACTGGCAGGGGACAATGTGAACAAGACTTCATCTTGAAGGCAAGAGAACGAGGTTTCAACCCCGTCTAGTCGAGGAAAGGTGTCAAGATCTGAATGAAGTTCAACTCAGCACCAAGTCAATAGTTAATAACCAAGGTGCTAGGCACGATGAGACGAGGGGTCATGAAAGGCAGCTGTAGGTCTGAATCAGTCACACCTGGTGGCTATAAATATGAAAAAACGAAGACGAAAAATGAGTTACCAAAACCAACATTTCATAGCATATGTCAATCTTTTATATTTTCTCTGTAATGTAGCTATGGCTATAATCTTTAGTTTGGAGCTCTCATCCAATCACTTCCATAAAAGTAAGAGTAATTTAGTTGTTTTTCCATAAGTCATAAAAAACATCAAACGCGCTCTAATTCGAATTTTATTTAAAGAAAAATGAATTGTATTATTAATCGTTGTCCAACAAAGTCAAATGTACACTAATCCATTAAGATTAAAAACAAGTTTTTCTTATCGAAATTAGTTTTTTGCCCCACCTCATAATAACTTAAATAGGCATAGAAATCAAGTATAAGGTACAAACACTCTTAACGAGAAATCAAGTACTCTGGCACCTAACGACCTCCCAACTAGATATTAACATTAGATGGCCACTTAATCCTAATTTAATTTACCATTAGCTCAAACATCATTTAGGATTAATTCAACATCACTAAGTATCGCCTCTTTAGAGTTCTTTTAATCAAATACTTCTAACTTTTTTTATAGGTAAGAGTAATATAGGTATATTTTTTTATTAAGTACTACTTAATTAAGAAATTTGAACCTGGGATCTCCAGATTCAAAACTAGTGCTATTACTAGTAGACCAAACTCTTGTTGATAATCAACTACTTCTAACTTGAGTAGGTTCCAAGAATATCCTACCTTTATTATTCGCTTAAATGTGAGTTGTCAAGCACTTTTTCCTCATGAATTTCGGAGTTATCTTAAATTAGTATGTCTATGTCGCAAAACACAAACGCTCATTCCTTCTTGTAAGTGCAAGTGAGATTTAACTGCTGAAATAGTAAAATCGTATAAGCGGTTGTATCGAAAAAGTCAACGGTAAAGTGTTTTATGCTGAAACTTTGGTTTAACTGGTGTTATTGAATCATTTCATACTACTAATTATTTAAAACCCAATATAAATTTTTTTTGGTCGAATCGCCAGTACAATACGATTTTTCATTCCCTTCCTTTTTGTGCAATCCAGCAATGCCAAGACAATGCAGACAATAGCATATGGAGACAATAGTCCTCCTCAACAAAATGTATATTCTAAAGAAGAGCATGATTACAGAATTTGCATATTATGGGAATATAATGGAATCCAAAAACGAACCCCTCCTGCTAGAACTGTACTATCTGTAGCCTGAAGGGAAAGAGCAATACTGATTGGCAGACACGAAATGACACCTTATAATTTTGTTCTTATTTGGTTCCAGTTTTGGTCAGGATAACAATTATACGAATTTACCCAAATATCACCATCTTCCTTGCATGTACCTACTTTTCTCTCTTATCTCTTCTTTGTGCGCCATGAACGATCATATCACGAACGATTTTTATCATCCTTGCAGAAAAAGAAAAAAAAAGAGCTTGAATTCTTGGAGAACTAATTTGATTCCATTCTCTTAATTACAAATCTCTCCAAAATAGGAGCTTGCATGGCTTTTGAGTCTGTATATCATCACAAACTCACAGTCACTGAGTTTCATCTTAAACGGCATCCAACAAGAAATTTTGAACCAGAAACCGGGGGAAAAAGTGGAGAGGGAACAACCGAATGAAAAGGAAGAAACCAAGCAGCAGTCAACATTCAACAAATTGAACCCAATCCAAAAAATAAAGTCACTTTCCCCCCCCCCCCCCCCCCCCCCCCCCCCCCCAAAAGCTAGTTCTTTAGGCAATTGGGTGATAATCCGAAATAATGGTGCCGATCGACGGGCCAAAAGTAAATGGCTTTAATTATATACGGTGCTCCACTAGAAAGAAAATTTATGGCTAAGTGCACATGTTAATATGTTATGGTACGTCAACAAAAGAGTCAAGCGGCGCTTCCACCTTTCGATGTCCGAGGGGACCAATAAGCCCGATATCAAGTCTGTCAATGATGCCTCGCTCTCGGTTCGACTCTGGTAATGGAACATCTTCTTATGTTCATGACAATAGGCACCCAATAAAGTAACCCTGCGAATCTCGCACTAACCCTCCAGATGCACAACTCATCACTATAAGGAAGACGAAATAAACGGTCCATCGAACTTGACAGCTGTAACGCACTCCTCTTACGGTGTTGATCTCTCCGTCCAACGTCCACGTTTCGACGGGTCACCGCGGTCCGGTTTTAACCGACCCTCTAAACAAGCGCCCTAAAAATTTGGTCGAACCCGTCTTTTTTAAATTTAACATTCCTTCCAAATGATTATCCACTACTAACTTTTTTTTTTTTTAATTTGGACAAAGATTAAGTAAGAGAGAAATATGTCCACGATTGGCTGGCCAGTCCATTTTCTTGGTCACTACTGATCCATGAATAAACAAAAAGATTTTCTTGGGAGGCAGTATTTGAATAATGAAGAGGATGGTGGTATTCGTGTGGAAACCACACTCCCTCTCTCATTTTTTATGGCCTAAAATGATGTCTTTGTTCCAACCCACTTTCTCCCCCTTTGCATTGCACCCAATAACCTAAGTGAGTTCCTCTTCAGCATTCCACAATCCCATTGTTGCTTTAATGCTTCTTACTCTAATTCCCTTTTTTTTTCTTTCTCTCATTCTAGAGCTCTAGGGCTTACTTAATAGTGTGATTATTTGATGTGAAAGTAGTATAGATAATATTCCGCATATTATTAGATCCACTAGTTACGTGTAACAAGAATAAATCGTTGGAAGAGCATCAAAAGATTGACAATACAATTTCACATAAAAAAGAAAGATCCATGGACAATTGATTTTCACAAGTCGAAGGAGATCAAAAGCAAATGTACATTTTAGTGCTGATGTGATATATGAGGTGAAGAAGGCCAAGGATACAAAGACAAAGAGATGGTGTATGAGAAATAATCGACGTGGGTTTGGAGTCGGGTCAAACCAAAACAGCAACGAAATATACATTAGACATGAGTAAGAGTTTTCATTATGTTTATTCGTAAGTCGTAACCCTAATGAGTACTCTGGATCATGGCGAGCATCATGTAACAATATCACATAACTAATTAGAGATAGACGATCATGTATGTGGGTGATATTATATATATTGATGATTGGTAGAGAAATGATATTTCTCCAGCAAGCCTGCCTAGCTAAATACTAATTGTTGGATTATTTTTTTCAGTTTCATTCAATTGACGTGAAATTGACGATCATATGATGTAATGCGAACTTATTTGAATTTTAATTAGATCGGGGTTGTTACTACATGTCATTTCCTTTATAACATTGTTAACTGAACTATGTTTAACACAACCATGGGCAAAGTTAGGATTTGACGTTGAGGGGATGGAGTTTCTTACTGTGTTACCGCAAAAAAGTGTTAAATAAATATAAAAAAGGAAAATTCTTTTTTTCATATTATGATGTCTTCGTGAATTTAAGGTAAGTAAGTCGCTCAAAATAAGATAAATTCACTTAGAAACTATGTATAAACATATTATAAAAATAGGATCTAAACTAAAAATTTTATAACATGGTAGGTTTACTATTACTATTTATTAAGACAATGTGAATAACTGAATATGGACAAAACCTATCTAATTAGTTGATTGGATCTTAGAAATACACGCAAGGATAGACGGCCAATTCTGTAAGCACGTACAATCCGTATTAATATATGGCCAATCTATATATTGTTTCCCCTCGACGAGCTGTCCCTTGTGTTTTTATCATTTTGTGGGGTTTCTGCCAAATTCGGATAATAATCCCTCGCGACTTCCATAAGATCTTTTGTCTCCAAGGGCCTATTATCCATAGAACCTTGGAATCGCCAATTATTTAATTTTACAATTCAGAAAAATAAATTTTACATTACTGGCCGGTGCAACAAAAAAAAAATGTTATTTTCATGTTACAAAATTAACTTTTAGTGTTATTATACATTATAGTACAAACCGAACTTATATAATAATAACATAAACGTACAATGGTACAAATTTAACTTATAATTCTAACCTGCACGAGTTCAATTTGTAACCTTAGAGCATATAGTAGAAGGGCTATTCACGAAAACACACTAAAAAAAAGAAAAAGGAAACCGTTAGCTTAGTCTTCAACATCTCAAAGATGCCTTGCTTTTCTCCTAGTACTTTCCAATTAATGTCGATACAAAATATATATTTCCCCCACTTTTGAAACAGACAATGCAATTTCAATACCTATTTACCTCAGGAGTCCTGCCACTTGTGTCACGATGATGTAAAATTTGATAGTGAAAAGTATTTTTCTTCATTCTCAGAAAATGTTCTTTTCGTAATATCGAAAAAATTAGCGATAAGCTAATTTATGATAAACTCGTGATTTAATCGCACTTCATCATTTCATACTCTTATAAAAAAATTCCTCCTACCTGTTTAGACTCCGATAGAAATATTTCTCCCTATCTAATCGTTGATACGGTACGATAACTTGCAATATTCCAACTTTTTTTCTTGGAGCACCTCGGTGCTTCACAAAAATATCCTTCGACAAACTGTTGCACGTAGTTTGGCTATGCTCAATTTGGTCGGACACAGTTTTATTCTCTTGCTTGGATTCCCCTTTCATTTTGCTATTATTACTTTGCTGAAAACACATACAAATAGCCTTTCACCTTCTGTTCCCAATCCCACTCCCATTCAATTTCCTTCCCTAAACACTCTTTTATTAATCGTCTCTGCCGCAATTAACCCACGACAACACTAGTGCTATTTTCTTAATCATCATAATCTCTTATCTTAATTCCACCACCCCATCGGAAAAAAAAAGAAGAAGCAGCCACTCTCCAACTAGCCGGTTGATTAGTGCGCTTCTTCATTTGATTAATCAAAACCCCAAAAAACCATCAATTTCTTTATAAATACCGGCGTGTGTCCACCACACTTCTTCACTACTCCTCCTACAACCAAACGAACTTACTAAATACTCCTTCTCCTTCTTCTTCCTTGGAAAATGGCCACCACCAACAACAACCAAAACCAACCGGCCAAGATGGAACCGGACTGGTTCGACTACGCGAAGAGGGCTCAGTGGCTCCGAGCCGCGGTGCTCGGAGCCAACGACGGGCTTGTCTCGACGGCCTCGCTCATGATGGGCGTGGGCGCGGTGAGGCAGGACGTCAAGGCCATGATCCTCACCGGGTTCGCCGGCCTCGTGGCCGGAGCCTGCAGCATGGCCATCGGCGAGTTCGTCTCCGTATACTCTCAGTACGACATCCAGGTCGCCCAGATGAGGCGCGACCAGGAGCTTGGCCGCCGCCGCGGCGGCCAAGCTCCTGCTGAGGTGGAAGGAGGAGACAAGGAGGAGGAGGAGGAGGGGCTGCCGAACCCGATGCAGGCGGCGGCGGCGTCGGGCCTGGCGTTCTCCGTGGGCGCGATGGTGCCGCTGCTGGCGGCTTCGTTCATTAAGGCGTATAAGGTGAGGATCGGAGTGATGTTTGCGGCGGTGAGCTTGGCGTTGGTGGTTTTCGGTTGGATCGGAGCCGTGTTGGGGAGAGCTCCGGTGGTGAAGTCCGGGATGAGGGTTTTGGTTGGCGGGTGGGTGGCCATGGCGCTCACTTTTGCTCTGACCAAATCGGTCGACTCGAGCCGTATGGACTGGGTTTGATATCATGTGTCGCGGTTTTTACGGATTATGTGGGTTCGTGGGTTTGATGATTGTGTCTCGCGTTTCGATGTACGTACTCAGGGGGATCTGACCGCGCGTTCAAAGTTGTTTATCTTAATAATTTGTTAAGTAGATGATTATGTGTTTTGTATCGTTGTATCGTATCGGCGTGTGTGACTCATTGCTGCTTCCTTCTTAATTTGTTGACTTTCTTTTTTTGAGATGGACGCGCGAGGTTGTACGACTACTGGAGTATTTTGCTCTGTCGGAAGTCCAAGGCGCGACAGAGTGATTTTTTGTGTTATGTACATAAATAATAATAATAATAATAACTTCGTTGGAACTTCTCTCTTGTTCATTGATTAGTGAATGGAAGTGAGAAATGATTAACCATCATACAAAATCCAACATGGTTCAACCTCTTAAAAAGAAAGAGAATACGTATATAAAATGTCATACTGTATATCATTAGATAACTTTCATTTACTATCAAGTGCTTTTATCTAACCAAACCTGGAAAGCTCGAATGGAGCCCCATTTACACAATAATTAGGGATGCCATTCTAGTTGAGTTTATCCTTTGAACTAGTGTTATAAGCATGATTTTATCCACTCAAATAAGTTAGAGAGTGAGTATATAATATTAATCATTCAGTACCTTTTCTCAATAACTCGAATTATTGAGGTCAATTGATTTGACCAACTAATTTGTGACAGTATATCAAAATTGATTTAGGACATGATTTTCTCCGCTCAAATACGACATACAGATGCAGTAATAATCTTGAGTTAATTGAATTATATTAATTTCTACACATTAATTAAGAGACACAATTTATACCTAACAAAAGCAAGACACCAATTTTCATCTATTCCGTCCCACCACCATCCAAATCAATACGCACAAACATTTCTTTGGATCCTGAGGATACCAAGAACAAGAAAATCAGTCTAAGCGAGGTGGGAAATGGTTGCCATCGTTTCAATAATCAGTGGTCAGTGGTGGGGAGAGTCATCGTTTCAATAATCAGTGGTGGGGAGAGTCAAAAAATTAATGGGGATTTGGATGTTTGGATTGTTAAAATTAGGGGAATTGTTTTCATGATAGAATTGGTGGATTTACAGATCAAAAGAATTGGTGAATTTATTGATTGGATCATGCAACCAAGCGAAATCTAAACATTGGATTAATGTATAAAATTTAAAATTGAGATACTAAAATTCCACAATAAAAAAAATTTAGGTACCAAAAATTATTATAATAAATTTTAGGTATCAAAATATAAAATATTAAAAATATAAGTACTAAACTATAATTTTTCAAGTATTCATTAATCCGCCAATCCAATTGAATTTGGATTAAATGAACTCGATTTAAATGGTTTGAATTAATTTAATTGGATATTTTCGTGGATTAGATACAAAATTGTCAGTAGATTTTGGGTGCACTTACGATTTGATAACTTAATCTCGTTCATGTTTGTTCCCTTTTTATAGTGCAATTTTTTTCTTCTAAAGATTTGACACACGAGAAAAAGAATAAAATATAAATTTTTTTGTTCGTTGAATATACGATATAATTTGTTATGACAAAAAAAATTCTATGTTAGTTTCAATTTTTATGTTTCTATGGTGAATTTCAATTCTTTTGTTTCTATTTGGTGGAGTTGATGAAATTTGTCTCAATACCCTAAGTTTCACTAATACCTATAAAAAAAATGGGCCTAACTTTCTTGCTTGCATTTTCTTTCTCACTCCCTCTCTAAAGTAGGACTCGATGTTTGCAAAATCGTACTATGTCGGTGGTTTAAGTGAAAGGATTGTCTATCAAAGTCTAATTTGATATCCAATTTTAATGATATGTAACTGTTGAATATCGTTTAAATCCATATTTGAGCACAAAACACCTGAATTTTTCTGTACACTCTCCCGTACCGTTTTGCAATTCTACTTTTTTTACTTGCAATACTTGGTAGGACTGCAGGAAAGATGTCCTTGCTGCTGGCTTATCACGGAATTGAAAAGAAAAGTGGAGACCGGATGGTGCTGTGGTGGGGATGATTTTTAAGTCCATGGACTATGGACCATAGTTGTGTCCATTTGAACTTGGGTTGGGTCTTGTTTATGATATGGATTGAAAGACCTATTCTCTCTTTATTTGGGCTTTTCAAAAACTTGGTGTTAATGGTGTACATGGCCTGCATTGAAGGTCCATGCCTGTATTTATAAGCAGGCCGGTGATAGAAAGAAAATAGTAAGTACATCTACAAAAGATATAAAGGAGATTCATGGGTTGGGATTGCAGCATTTTGAATTTCCAGCCCTTAGACCACTTCACGGAGGGGCATTTTTGTAATTGCCTTGGACTTAAATGAGGCTATGCGTTTTGCACCTTCCTCTGCCCATCAACTTGACAACCCAACTTCTGGGCCAGGCCTCTCTTCTGTTAGAAAATAGGGCTTGATATTGGGCTATTGCAGTCCAATTTCACCATTTTGAATTTGCAGCCTCGGGAGTGATTCACGGAAGGGTTTATATGTCATTTTGCAACATAATAAATGATGTTGTGCGTTTTGCTTTTCAAAGGCCAATACCGAGCTCCACAGATGGATAAGGGCCTGACTGTGGCAGTGGGCTGTGCATTTTAGTTTTCAAAGGCCCATTCCTCCACAAATGGGTCAAAAAACAAACCGACAAAAAATCCGACCAGTAATCCAGTCACCGTCGACATACAAGTCGGCTACCTTTTCATCTTCCACTCTCGATAATCAAAACGAAAAAAATGAAATGTCATAACCCTAGATCACAAACAAAAACCTAAAAATCGACATGCAAACAAACAAAAACATATCTTAATTTCGCCGCCGCTGTCATCATCATCGCCGGCGTACATCGCCGTCAGTTCTCAGCACCGCAAGAAGCCATCATCCCATCGCGACTTTGAAGCTCCGGCGGAGGAGATGAGAGAAGCTGTCGGCTTCACCTTCAGAGCATCCGGCCGAGAGATCCAAGTCGGCGGCCCTTTCCTCTTCCCCTCACGATAAGCAAAACCACAAAAATTAAAGGTCGGATCCCTAAATCATAAAAAAGTCCTTAAATTCGACATGCAAACCAACAAAGCACTTCTTACCTTCGTCGCCGCTGTCATCGTGCCGGCATCCACCGCCGTCAGTTCTAACTACAACGAGAAGCCATAACGTCATTATGACTACGGCCTTTGAAGCTCCGACCGAGGTAATGAGGGATGAGAGGAAATGTGTTAAGCTGGCGGCTTCACCATCAGATCAGAGGGTGGGCGAGAGATCGGAAGGGAAGAAGAAGACTGTTCAAGAGAGGGTTGGGCGGCAGTGAATTAGGGTTTAACTTTAAGAGAAGTTTTTATACCCCTCCCCTCCCCAGCGTGTTTACCTTTACCCTTTGTAAATTACCAAATTCTCAAAATCTCTTTTTTTTAATAATAAAACTCATAATCTCTTTCCTTTTACATCACCGAAAAAATCTTTCATATTAAGCGTATCTAATCCTAAATTAATCTAATTAAATGATTAAATAAGTGACAAGTAATAATACACTTACCCTATTATATAGATTAAGTAGTACCAATTTAGAGTGTTGCAGAAATAGGTAGTATCAATTTAGAGCGTTGCAGGGTGTAGGGCACTCCTTCTCACATAACCGTATTCTAAAACATATAACTTGAATTCGCATACGAGGTCCCAATTTTAACCCTAAGGTTAAGACCAAACCAAAATAGTGTTCGATCTATTCCAAGTTAAGTTTGATGACAACTCTGGAAATGAACGTGAGCAAGTAGTACCAATTTAGAGTGTTGAAGGTTGTAGGGCTCTCTTTCTCACATAACCGTACTCTCGAACCTATAACTTGAATTCTCATACCAGGTTCTGATTTTAACCCTAAGGTTAAGACATGACCAAAATAGTGTTCGATCTATTCCAAGTTAAGTTTGATGACATCTCCGAAAAAGAACGTGAGCAACTCCGATTCCAATGACAATATTCATTATCCTACCTAAAATAGTTTGAAACTCATACAGACAAAAATAATTGGGTAGACAATCAAAATAATGTCCATATCCTATCGAATTTAGCATATCCATATGTTGGGTAACATTACACGTAGAATAACATTACATAAGTGGAAAATATGACCATAAATCACTAGAAATAAGAAAATTAGTTAAAAATAATTATATATATATAATAAACATAATATGTTAAGAATAATAATAATAATTTTCTTAGATAAAATACATATGCATGTATGTAATTGAATGAGCTTGGGTAGTGATAAAACTATGCCTACCAATTACTCGCAATATTCAGATTCACATTTTATCCGTACTCACTAAAAATCCTTTTGTTCAAGTTTTACCCTACTCAATTAGGTCGGATTTGAACGAGGTATCCACAGTTGTGGATATTTTTACGCCAAATCACGACTTCACTATATTTTGAAGATACCGAAGATTTCAATGGAGAGTCGATAAACAGAGTATTAAATTACTTTTTATTATATACTCAACAAAAAGATTACGGAGAGATGAGGCAGATCGTTAGATGATTATAATTAATTATTTTAATTTATGTAACAATTAAATATGGCAATTAGCCAGGTAACAACTTGGAGATAAAACTTTGGTAGTAGGAGGAGTCTGACTCATTGACCTGTTGTGGTAACGATTGTATCAATTTTGTTGGATATGTTATCAAACTTTTCTCCTTATGTGAGATTTAAAATATTTGCCTCTTTCGGTGGTGGTGGAATAATAAGATATTGATGATATTTAGCTTTCAATTTATTATAGTACTTGGATTTATGCCCGAAATTTCTTTTGAGTTTATTAGGTGAATTTGAAACTTGGGAGGCAGAATATCAAACTTTAGCTCATTCGATTGTGACTATCAATCCGCAACGTGTCTATTCAAATGAAACAATTTCATATTTATAACATGTGTCAGGATCAACAAAAATAACAAAGA